GGAGGGCTCTTATGAACACGGTAGTGGACTTTCGGGTTCCATAAAATGCTCAGAAGTTCTTGAATAGCTGCACAATTTGGGACTTCTCAAGAAGGGCTCAGCTCCAAGAGTGGGTGAGTGAAACTGTATCAACTTTGTCACTTGTATGTACAATAAGTGCCGGCATTAGAAGCAGTACTTAATATCTCTTATCAGCTCCTGGGACACCGTATAGTCTGGATAGTGACAGCGCCATAACAGTAACCCACTGAAACGTATGTTCAGGTGGGAGAGTGATAATTATATATGCAGATAATTAATTATATTCTGCATGCTACTTTGAGACAGACAGTAACAAAAGAAGATTGTGCATCACTGGGGAAACTTTCAATGTCTAAGTAAAATGCTCTACAGCTTGCTTAAGGCACCGATCCATAGACGGAAGGTATGGAATTTAATCAATACGCAATTACTTTTATTCAGAGTTGCCTGGGACTGGCAGTTCAAAAAGGAACACGCTACTTCCTGCCCTCATGCAAAGGAGAAACTTTTCTCAGAATAGAACTCACATTGCCAAGTGCCATAAAACGAATCACAAAAAAACAGCGATGAATTGGTGGGTGGTAGCTTTATTTAAATGAGGTAATTCTGCAAGCATGTGATCGTCATGTCTACGGCAAGGTATTTTAAAAATACCATACGTTGCAGGCAGGTCTGTGATTATGTGTATTTCTGCTTCATACTGGCCTATACTCTGTGCACTGTTCTTAAGCCCAATAGCACTAATGTCAGATGCAATCGTGTTATTGCTGTGCAAGAATTATATTGCTCTGCACCCAGAATTGGTTTGCACTCAGCTGAAACCTTCTGAAACTTTGTATGTTTACACACCAGTCAACTCATGGTAATTACCACATTGTGCCCACTTTTCACAGCCTGCATTAAGTAAACATGTATAGAGAAAATCATACCCCTTCATCCACATGGTTCATATCTCAGACTGCCAAATGGATGTATATTGTGTTTCATGATCACAGTTTGCACTAACAGTTGCTAAAGATATACTCATGTGCCTAAGTAACTACCACGACCTAAAGACATAAGGGGGCATGGAGATATAGCTTCACACACCTCACACAAGATGGTCATTGGTGAGCTTCACGCCCTGGGCGCTTTGCACCCTGAGGAAGAGGCCTCTGAACCCACTGACTAGGAGACTGGGTGGGCTCCAGGGCCAGCCTGTCGCTGTGGAAAAGAAAAAATATTTTCTCCAAGCCAGGAATCCAACCCTTATTCCTCAGTCATGCAACCCATAGCCCAGTATCTGTACCAACTGAGATATCCTGGCGACACAGAGATATCGAGCTGATTTCATTTTGGTGCAAACAACATCACAACAACGGAGACAATTTCGACATACCTCAAATAAGTACTACAGCACTTTGTTACAGGTAATCCAAAAATCTACCATAGAGTGTACACAGAAGAAATTAGTATAACCATTTACACACCAGCTAGCCAAAACAAGCTATATAAGATAAAAGGAGGATCTCTCCCCCCCCACACACACACACACACAATGCATCGGCACTAGATCCACAAGCTGCTTCACTCCCAAGACAAGATCAAAAACTCAATTTAGTCCCAGTATAATTCCACGACCATTTCTATGGAAATCTACTAAAAACTAAACATTTAATTCAACGTGCTTGTGACTTACAAACTCGTTTTGACTTTTTCAAGTCAACTCTTTTAAAAGAATTTTTAGGATTTGTTGTATTAATAAATAATAAATTGTATTAATCATTAACCATTAATAACAATCCTGTAACATCAAGACTTTGGGTACACATTTGTTTACTTTATCTAAAAGTATATTCACTAGAAAGCCTGTGGGTGTTTTGTGAAGAAAGTGTAACAGTTTGAACTTTAAGATGGCGGTAACTTGTGCCATGACTGAGATACAGCCACCAATTCTTGCTCACTTGTGAGCACTAGTTTTGTTGTAACAGACCCTCTAGATATGGTTGCCCCTGTGTATTGCTGATGACAGCTGTGTGCCAGAATACTGTCCCTTTGTGTAACTTAAAAGCCCATAACTTGGTGCTTTCATATTCTTTCCAATTTCTTGTTTTTATCTTAAAATTTTTCACATGTGCTGCATGCATGCTGGAAGTCTCACAGGATGCATTTGAAGAATATAATAAGTCTGTGATTCTGAGGAAGAAATGTTGTACTAGGTTTCAGGTTCTCTAGGCCTTTTGACTTCATGTGTTTCCTGCCTTTAAAAGTTATTGGTGATGCTGGATTAGCAGAATGTGGAATTGGAGGGGCAAATGTAGCGACCCTCAAGAAAGCCAAACTTCCATTCTGAATACTTACTAACAGAATACACTCCATATTTTCTTCTTCTAGTTGTTCAGATTGACACATTAGGCAAGATGGCATTATGTCAGTTTGAATAAATTATGTCCATAAGTACAGATTCTGATTACATGAAATCTGTTAGGTATAAAGTCAGAGCTCTGCACTATCATCGTGCTTGCAATTGTAGATATATAGGCAATATTCTATATGTAAACAAGCAGAATTCATTGTATGGAACTCAATCTGTGAGCTCCTACCCATGTTGCTTTCAACAAATGGATTTTAATGGAGTTTTATGCTAAGAACATTCTTTATTGATGTTAATTCTTTTCGGGGGTAGTTACATTGTGGATATGGGTGATGTTCTATTTGTGTTGTGTATCCACTTTTTTTTCATTCTTTATAGGTAAATTATTACAGACATTGATGTTAAGTTCTCTGTTGCATTTGAGGAATAATAATTAAAAGTATCAGCTGACTGACTCTATGGTCTAGTGGTCAGAGTTCCTGGCTACAGATCCAGAGGTCCCGAGTTAGATTCCTGGTGCTACCAGATTTTCTGAGAAGTAGTGGGTCTGGAATGGGGTCCACTCAGCCTGATGAGGATAATTAAGGAGCTGTCTCAAGGAAATAGCGTCTCCAGTCTATAACACCAAGATTAACGGCCGTGGGAAACCGTTGCGCTGGCCACGTGACACCCTCTATCCACTGAAGTTGGCACTAACTTTGCGGACAAGCAGAGTCACTCGGTCAGTATAGTTCACTTGCGGACTACAGGCCACAGAATTTTTTTGTTTATCGGCATTTTATATACCCCATATTGTTCAGTACTAAATATTTAAACATTCGCACTGTGATCCTCAAATCAGATTTGTAATATAGGTTTTCCTGTTTCAGTTAACCCATTGCCCTTTCTGTTTATATCAAAGCAGTCATGTGATAGACTTTCTTTGCCAGCTGTTTGAATTACAAGTGCTAACGCTGTGTATTACGATGCCAGAGCAGGCAGGGCATATTTAATTTTAGTAAGTTAGTAGTGTAACCAAGTCTCATCATTTGTTACATTAATGTCTTGTAACTTATACTGCTTCTCCCATATTTGTTTCCAGTCCCGCATGTTACCGAATGATGCATCAAGGCTGATTTTTAATACCATACCCCATGAATGATACACGTATAGTGAACCATGAACTGTATCCTTTATATATGTAGTATGCTGCATTTCACATATCCATATCAAAATGTAATCAGTACCCACAGAATAGACATGATACACTGAAAAAAGACTGATTTTTCTTGACATCTTACTTAGTAACTTACTTTCACGCATTATGTTAATGTGTGACAATTCATTGCTGTGGTAACCCAGAATTGTGTAGTTTCATAGCTGTCGTCTCACTCTTACATTTCTGTGTATGTGTAGAGAGATAGAGGGAGATTGAATTAGTATGGGTGAAGGGCTAATCCAATTAATCACACTCATTAGGCCTGAAAGTGGAATCTGGAATCTGGATACCACATGAGTAAATTTTCGATCACAATGGCTGCTCAGTCTGAAGCATGAACCATCTTTGCCCATGCGAACACTGGGATCATGGGTTCGAATTCCACTCAAGGCATGGTTGTCTGTGTGCTTTTATTCTGTGTTTATGTTATTCTGCATAGATAGAGGCCTTGCGATGGGCTGATCCCCTTTCCAAGGAGTCCTACCGACTGTGTATAGATTAAGAAATTGAAAAAGCAGCCAAAGTCCACAAGGGCTGTAGAGCCATAGATAGATATGGGTAAATTAGATGTGAAGAAATAAATTGACTACCACATAAGAAATTTTCACCAAGTATTATTATAGTAATCAAATCAGGGATGAGGTGGTAAAATCTGTAGAATGCGTGGGAGATATGTGAAATCAGTACAAAACTTTAGTTGGGACACCTCAAGGAAACAGGTCACTTGGGAAACTTTGTCATAGATGGAGGGATAATAATGTGGACCTTAAAGAACTAGGATATGAGGATGTGGACTAGACTCATGCGGTTCAGCATAAGATTAGTGATAGGCTCTTCTGAACTCTGTAATGAATCTTTAGGTGTCTTTGAAAGGTGGGGAATTTCTTGACGAGCTGAGTAACTTCACTTCTCAAGTATGACCACTCCATTTGATGATTAGTATTCATTCATCAGTAATCTGTCAGACGACAGGTCCACAGTCTCCCCCAAAACAGTTCGTCCACTTAATGCGATCTTCTGTTTTTGGAAAGAGACTATCCAGGAAAAGTGATAATGTGGTAGTTTTTCCATTTGCTTTCCACATCGCAGTACAACAGCCGTTCAAACCACTCTGGTCACGCCTGTTGCTATACGAACTTGAACCATCTCGAGCATCATTTGCTCTGTGCTTCAAGTCGCTGCTGATGACGCTGCTTCCGGCATCAGTTTTTGGTGTCTCTCTTCGTCTGATGCCTACCCTTTGACCTGTCCAGCAAGGGAGGCCCTGCCAGTAGCTACGCTACCGCTGGTATAGCTCTCAGGGTCCTTGGCATACTCAAACCCCCTCACCACGATAAGGTGGAGACACCAACGAGGGGGTTTTCGAAGCGAGAATCATACCCCTAGTATGGGCATGTTTAAAGTGTACACATGTTTCTGTCTTTGCAGACCTTTTGATGATGAATTGAAGTCCATGCGAAGATGGCCTTGCAGCCATGCCGAGAGCTCGCCTCAGTACTGACAAGTTGAGGTAAGCCACTGTTCTGCATTATGTTGTTTAGCGTGGAGTCAGTTTGTATGTTTTGATTCTTATATTCATCCGAACTCTTATCAAGTTGGGTTGGATACACATTGAAATGTGCTGTCACCTGTTCATTTTGGGAGGAAGGGTGTAAATTTAATAGCGGTTCAAAAGTCAGTGGCTTCCTCTACAAAACAAGTTTCTAAGTTTTATGTATTATATGCATTTTTTTCTCTGTGCCATATTCAGTCCAAAATACATTTTATGTTATGCCATTTAAGGTTCTCATAACAGCGAGCTTAAAGATTAAGGCATTCCTGTATATGTGATGATGTTAATTTGGTATATAGGTGCCTGTAAAAGAGGCAGTATTCGACCCTGAAGATGGAGCAGGTTCCTCTGAACTGTTGGTACCTGTCGACCAAACTGCATGGTGTCATGTCCCAGAAGACTGTAATATTTACATTTTACTTTCTTTTATCTGTTTAACCGACATTACTCATGATTGGCTCTACCAATAAACTGATCTCTGTCATCAGTTCATATCACTGAAACAGAAGCAAAAGATGCTCCCATAAATCACAAGTTTCTTCAATATAATGTGGTGTTACAATCTCAAAGACTGCCCTGTCATGCTGTTTCTCATTAGTTTTTAAATCCTTGTATCAACTGTTCATGCTCCTCACACACTTAAGGAGCATCCTGTTAGATTAACAAACAGTACCATATTTCCCAGCATATAAGATGTGTTGTCCCTCAAAATGGTACACACGTGTGACTTATAAGGGAAATGACAATGAAAACGAGATACATAATTATTCGAAGCATGGTTAAGTAGTCATTTAGAGACAAATAAATAATTTTGTTAAATTAATTAGTAAAAAATTCTGTCTTCTGGGATGTAATTCCATGTAGACCATTGAAAAGGAAAATGATCGCTGCTGTGGGAACATCAAACCCCACAAAAAAAATCTTAATTTTGTAAATCGTTACTCGCCTTATGCACTGGTATATCTGATACACTGGAAAATGTAGTGAATATAGGTTTTGAGGTTTTCATGATGGTAAATATTTATGTTGCCACATAATAGAGTGACTATGTATGAAGTTTAAACACAATAGATCATTGGGGGTTGCAGTGCAAGGGTGGAATTATTGTGGGCCACCCCTTATGCGTTCATTGATCCATTCATAGATGGAGTTTGGAATAGTAATCACATTTATTGAACACTTTTGCACATAACTTGTAACTACAAGTAGCTATAGTACTATCACTGATTCACACACACTGCAGTCCACTGCAGCTCATGCTAAGGGCGGCCACACACCAACTGCGTCAAGACAAGCATCAAGACATGGGACAAAAGACACAATCTTGCTTCATTCATGATTCGTTAGCATGAAGCTGGCATCAGCACCATGACTCGGACCGGTGTGCAGCGGTTTTCATAATCTCATTCATTTCAGCTGTGCTCCTTTCTTTGCGTCATGTCGCATACATCGTGCATGAGTGTTACATGTCTTGACGCATGCTAATGTGCGGCCTACCTTAGTCGTCTCAGTCTGCTGTCTTCACCAGTCATTGCCTGGCAGCGACTTCCAATGGTGGGTGTTCCAGTTACTCTGGATTCCCGAACTATCCCTGTGCTTCAACTACCAGCTTCTACCACCAACAGCTAACAATGACTGAACTGCAATTCTCTGACTAACTAACACATCAACCAACTCTTCACTTCACTGTACCCAACTGCACTGAACTTGCTCCACTCCAATCCACTCCACTCTACACCTTATGTAGTCTCAGCACGGACAACACAGACAACGCAGCTCTTCTGTTGTTGCTTGCATGTATGTTGCGGCCATTACGTAGCAACGACCACTGTTTACAGAGTCAGCACATAGCAGCAGGTCTACATGCTACAAAATTGTGGCCTTTTGGAAATTAAATGCTAATTCTGTTCAACTTAATGACACACTGTGAGTGTTAGAGAAGGTAGAATGTGGCATAGTGAACTTTCTGTGACCTGGAAGAGTTTGAATGAATCCGTTTTACAGCAGATGTTTGTAACAGGAAGATGAAGTCATTTGTTTGAATTAGAAGAAGAAATAGGTGCAAGACAAGACAGGTTGTGGGGGCAGGTGTGTAATCACCATTGTTCAGTGTCATGGAAGTGGAAATAATGACCTTGGTGGATGAATCCCTTGCATGACTACCATATGACAGTAAACTTACATTTTAGGATCTAGAACACAAGAGACAAGTGTTGAAGACTAATAGTTATTCATAAGAAAACTAAGTAAATTAACAGATATCAGATTACCGGTTATATGAATTATGTGCTCTATATAGTTAGGGTTCTTAATAGCAGTGACCTGAAGGGCGCTATCATTTGGAATGTCACTGTGTATAGCCTGGCAGACGTTTTCTGACATTTTGGAGGGAAATCAATAAACATCTACCAGACTACATGGCATCATATCCCAGAAGATAATATTCTGTAATTGTATTTTTCGAGGGAAGGCCTTTTAATGAATTATATGCCCTTGCAAAACTTAAAATGTGTACCGCTCATTAACAGAAGGGATACGCGGTAGCGTAGTCGGTTGAGGCACTATGCTACAAGTCAGAAGGTCACGGGATCGAATCCCGATGAGGTGGATTTTTTCAATTTACCTAATCCTTCCAGATGCTCTATGGCCCTGGGGTCGACTCAGCCTCCAACAGAAATGAGTACCAGGAATGTTCTTGGGGGTAAAGGGCGGCCGGCGCGTAAGGCTGACAACCTTACCGCCATCTGTGAGCCTATTGTCTAGAAAATGTGGGAACCTCAACATCTCACAACCCTATAGGCCTCCACGACATGTTAACAGGGATACCTTTACTTCTTTTTACTTACTTACCGCTCCTTAACAGTATGGTTTGTGTGAGCCTGTGTGTGTACTGGTTAAGATGCTCTGTGAAGGTATATATTCTTCTATGAATAGATATCTGTATTAAATTGGGAACTGTGTGAAGGAGGAGAATGTTGATGCCCTTTGGAATTGCATTTTATGCAGGTTTTAGTACAATAAAATCATTACTTGTCAGCAGTTAGTATTAATTATCACACATGCTGTGTTTGTTGTTAACCTTACATTGGAAGTATGGTATACACTCAAGATTGAGGGCGCTTTGTTTTAATTGTCTGCTGCTCCTAGAATTGACCACACTGTTTTGAATATCCTTTTCACAGAACAGTAAGATGGTCAACTGACAATTACTTATGCTTTTTCTGTTCCTGTACAGAAGACATTTTTCCACATCAATAGTGAAATTGTATTCTTTACCCATTAGTGATTTTCATGAAGAAATACATATGACAGATGTATCTATATCTGCATTCTATCAGGTGCTCATGATCAGTGGACTGTTGTGGGAGGTGAAGTGAGCATGTATATTATGTTGTTTATGAAAATGGTATGTAAATGAACACATTGCTGCCTTTCGAGCTGTTCACAGTGATTTAATCCATGAGTTTTGGTTTGTTCTGGCATTCACAGGACATGCCTTCCACTTCATCTTCTGTTCGTGCAGAGATTCTCACATACAGTCGCACTCAGTCAACCGTGCGCCGTTGTCGGTCACAGGAGCTCGACATTCCATCAAACGTAATTCCAGCTCATGAGGCTTTCCACCGGACACATTCTGTTTCTGAATTGTGTTTTCTTTTTGAACAGGCTTCAGTTGTTCATGTAGGTGATGTTAATTGTAGAGACACTTGTCTGTGTGTGGTATACTGTGCCAGTGGTTCCCAGACTTGAAGATCTGCCTATGTAGTATTACCAGTTATTAGTATAAAATGACCTTGAAAGATCTTCCCATCTTTCTGTCACGTGAGCTGCATTATGTTCTGAATATGTGACATCATGCTAAATGGATGAATTTCTCTGTTAGTAAATTACAGTTACATCTTATGAATGTTACTTTTATTTCTGTGTAGTAAAAAAGAAAAGCAGTTATTGTCAGATATTGAGTCCAGGACTGTTGAGAAATGATAGCGCAGTCATCATGTAAAGATAAAAAGGTAAATGTAAAGACCCATACAGTTGTGAGACATTGAGGCTCACACATTTTCTAGACAATCAGATCATAGATAGTGGTGAGGTTGTAAGCCTTACACACCAGCCACTTTTTAACCCCAAAGAAGATACCTGGTACTCATTTCTGTTAGAGGCTAAGTTGACCCCAGGGCCATAGTGCCATGGGAAGGATTATGTCAACTAAAAAAATCCAGTGACCTCAATGGGAATCAAACCCATGTCCTCAGCTTGTAGCATAGTGCCTCAACCAACTATGCTACCGCATGCCCCTCACATCCACTGTGCTCTTCTAGTCTTACACTGTGATCTGAACTTCTGTCTCATGTGAAGGACCAGCTGAAGGGCTATGACTTGAAGGATGGAGGGAAAGGTGAAGTGGCTTTGAAGATAATGTTGCAAGGGATTATATGGAGTGGCTTCCAGAAATGTTTGAAACAGCTGTGTGGACATGGACAGAAGTTTGTTAGCACTGGAGGATGATCTTTTGAAGGCAGCTAGGCTTCTTAGCGCCAGTGGGTACTAAACAGCACTCCTGTCCCAGAACTTTTGAAGCTACCATATCATTTATTTGCAAAAGATTTCTTTTATGAAGAATTGGTGGGAACCACTGGTCTTCGTGATTTTGTCTGTGTTGCTGCATATTTTGTATTAGTAGACAGTGACTGATTTGTCCTTGGTGATGGAGTGCAACTACAGAGGGTTTTTAGCAGTATATTTCATGACTGTAACTTGGTGGTCCTAATGTGTGATATAACTGTATACTATATAACTACTTGTATGTACTTACATCAAATTTCTTCCTGATTTTTATTTAGAAAGAAGTATTGAGTAAATTTGAGTTCTAAGTTTTTCAAGAAACTGATTTATTGTAACAAATTCCAAGCTTTTATGGTTTCTCCATTTGCAACCAGTGCAGTTTATCTTGATTTCTGATTTTTTAGTAGCACAAATGACAAACACTTTTTATATGTGCCCCATACACCTTCATGGTGTAGTGCTTAATTAGTTAAGGACAGGGACAAATTTACCTTTTTTTCCCACTTTCATTGCTACTTATATATGAGTAATATAGTCTTGATTTCAGATCCCTGGCTTTCAATTTTGAGCTAAGTTGTTCATTTTTAATACACAGAGTCTTAATATTAAAATCTTTTAACATGGTTCTTAAACTGATAGAAATATATACTGAAAGTCCACTCGATCTACTCAGACTTCTATCCATTGGGTATTGGGGGATGTTTCCCCTGGGGGGTGAAGTGGCCTGGGGCGTGAAGCTGGCCACTCAATTTCATCTAGTGCTGAAGTCAAGAATAGTATAGCTATACCTTCACTCCCCCTTATGTCTTTGAGGCTTTGTACTTAATTAGTAAATCACAGGTACTACTTTACCTTACCTTCAAGGTCAAGTTATAAAATGACTATGCACTTGGACACACAGATTGACTTGTTGCTTCCTTGGCTTACTCTTTGGCCCTGATTGTGATTCCTCTGAAATGTCAGTCAACTTCTGCTAGACTATACAACATCAGATCCCAGAAAATAAAATAAATACTCTTCACATTAATTTGTAATTATAATCTTCTATAAATTGTAACTTGTCATATATTAACCATTGAAGTCAACTAGAATCAGAAATGGAATTAAATGACAATTCTGATTTAATACATAAAGTGAGTGATTGAATTGATAACAACTTTGATCATGTTATAATTGATACTGAAACACACGCACAAAGTTCCATGAAAATTACATTTTTTATCCACCCACTAAGTTCATATTCAGACTACTGGAAATCTTGACTAAACAATGTACAGGTTAGACTGTCAGAAATACAACTGAGAATTATTGATATTATTAAATTCGTGTAAGCTGTCTTTCTTACTTCCTGGATATTTGGCTCGAAATCTTTCATAGAAGTTGGGTTTCGTGTAATTCTATCACTTCCAGCGTAAGAATCCCTTTTGTAACTGGAATAGCTCTGATTTTAGGATATTGTAATTATTTATGAAATGAGGTACCATGGAGCAGTAATCTTTGACGTGTTATTACAGGAGAGTCCCTTACAGATGGCCACTTCACTATTATTATTTAAGTTTGTTATATTTGGAAAAATCATCCCAGCTCTGCAATAAGAAAAATGGTTTTAAATGTTAATGCTTCTGGCTTGTGTTTCTGAGGTGCTGAGTTTTAATCTTGGCCGGGGTAATGACTATCTTGACTAAGGTTTCTTTTTGTATTCCTTAGTCCCTCCAGGCAGACTCTGACAGAATACATCATTTACTCGTATCCCATAATTTGAGGCTTTATAGTCTGAGTTACTGGTGTTCATTAAACAAACTAACCAGTTTGCAGATATATACAGTTAAAAGTCCCTTTTTTCCAACCCTGAATGAACAGGAAACAAGATCAATTGCATGTTGAGTTGCAGATCTTACTGTCTAATTCTCAGAATGGCATTCACTGCTTTACTTCAAGAAATGAATTAAGTAGATTTTGTATTCTCACTTGTACTTAATTGCAGCTGAAATGTGAAAATTACTGTTTGAGATATTTAATTAATTATTTTGTAATGTGTGTATTTAATGTGTTTGTGGGTGCTAATGTTGTGTAGAGAAGTGTGATTTAATATGATTATCGATGTAGTGTAATCATCCTGAGAATGGTGACTACTGATAGCTAGTTCTTATACCATATCTTATCTCTACCAGTTTAGTTTCTGTCTTCGTTTAGTTATGTGCCTTCTAGTGCGCTGCACATTCTTGTGGTGTGTTTGATTTCTGATAGTTTTGTATCTTTTACTTTTACAATTATTTTGTGTAAAGACATTTTCAGAATGTCAGAAGGTGAGTGGAAACTTTTTAAATGCTTTTGGATTTCAAGAATAAACTTTCCAGAGAATTATAATGTGCAGTTCTATATATAGCTTCCTCAGATGGTGGCCACTTTGTGTGTCATTAGCCATTTATGGCTTTTTGTATTATTCATCCCTCATAAATATCAGCTTGAGTGAATTTTATAGTTGTAATATTATGACTTTATATGTATTTTTGGCCTGTTTTCTTTCTCTGATTAATGTAATAGGATCATGAGATCATCATGGTACCCATGTTGAGTCTGTGTGTCCACCCCATTTCAATTTCTGAACCAGCTGACTGTTTTTTAGTCAGCTTCGCTCAAGGAAAGAAAGTATGGATCATATCGCTTGTGTTTGTATGCCCCTGCCCCCAAATTTGGACCTTTGAAACAGTTGATGACTTTTACTGAAGCTTGTTATGAATGTGATTCCTATAGAGGCCATCTCAGCATCATTTTTTATAATATTTGCAGTTGTACACACTTGAGGTGCGAACGTCATATATATAGTCCAGAAATAATACACTATAGGTTGCAATATCTAGTACCTCGGGGACCAAACTGTTGTTGAATATTGTAACTTTTGGATATTAGGATGTTGTACCTAATGTAGGTCTCAGTGTACCTAGTGACCTCATGGACAGAGCTAACGACTAATTTGTCACTTGATATCCTGTCCTGTCTTCCCTACCACACGTTCTGTTCCCTTTTCATTACTACTTACATGACACAGTAAACATATTATATATATATATAAACCAACAAGGTACCAATATTTCACTTTTTCAGACTCATATTCACAATTAGTTTCTGGTTAATAGAGCTTTTCAGATCACCGAGAGCCAGATATCACAGCTTTTACTGTAGATGATGCTAGATGTTTGAAAAATATGCAGCTTTTGTTAAGGTGATTGTTTTGTAAAATGTGAAATAAATGGTGGCCATGTGAAAGTTTTCTTTCACTTTTGGTGTGGGGCTGAAAAATAATGGAACATTGCAGCTAGGCAAGAGATCATAACCATACCCGAACATTGTGTGTTTATTGTAGGTACAGAATTACAAACATATAGACAGTTCAAGACTTTTTAAGTGTTGCTCAGCAAATTCTTAAAATGTAATATAACAGCAATAATACTGCTAATCTGTAGGACTAGAGATATTTGGGATGGTAAAATGAGGGTATAGGATTTCTTCTCAGAGCTCCCTGTTTAAATTTATGAATCAAAAATCAGTTAAATTTTATAGCTTCATATTCTTGAGGTGAAAGTTAATAATGTAATGTGGATCTGTACATACTGTACAGAAGTCTTGGTGATAGTACAAGAAACTGAAGCAGTTTTATGGACACCATGCAACTTCTCTCTTTGTGCCAATTTTGAAGTGAGTTACTATGTTCTGATTTTGTGTGTCTGTCATCATTCTTAATTGAGAGTTTTAATTATGGGATCATAAATGGGCACTATTGTTTACACTGTTGTCACAACACTTTGTACATAGTTATGTTGGTCAGTGAATGTTTGGATTTACTCGGCATAGATGGTGTTAGCTGAAGAAGAAACAATTCAGTTTTGCATACCTGTAGCTTCATATTATTTCAAAATTGTGTTGCATGCACTAATTCACATTTTTCTCTGTTTGGTTGGTATAGGACTTGTACCAGGAACCAGTAATGGAGGACAAGAAATCATCAAGACTGGTGGGATCTAAAGTATCCCAGATTGCAAACATCTTCCAGAGCATGGTGCCAGCCAAAGAGACTGACGTGCTAATCAGCAACTCCACTCCCCTGCGGACCAAACCGTCTGACTCTTCACCAAAGTTGGAGCGGAGACGAGCAGCTACAGGAAATGAGGAAGTATTGAAAGAACCATCAACACCACGTGATTCTCCAACTCAGGTGACGGTCGTTCGGACAGAGAGCCATGTTGCACGTTTCAACAATGCTCGTGCACTGTTTGAGAAATTGGGAGCGGAGGATGGCCGTGGCATCGTCAGCAGCGTCACTAAACCAGAGAAACCAGTCACAGTTCCTGCCATCACCACAGGTCCTAAGTTGCCTCTGAGTCAAGGTCTTCATGGTTTACGATCTCGATCCAGCTCAGATAATTCCTCCACCGGTACATCCCCAGTACGATCACCTCGAACAGCAATAGGTTCACATCATTCCTCTCGATCACCTTCTCCTAGAGAACAAGGTCAAAGTGACAGTGTTACCACAGGTGGGGGATCATTATTTGGTATTGTGAGCAGTGGGACATCAGAGCTTGATGGCCGGAAGGTGCTTACCACCAATGGACATCATACAAATGGAGGGCCTGATGTGGTAGATGAAGAGGTGGCCATTCCGTCAATACGTGTGTTGACTACTGTTTCAGCATCCATTACAGAAAGATTGTCACAACCACAGAATGTTCATGCAGCTGGGAAGGTGACAGACAGTAATCACTCAAATGGGGTTATTAAGACTGAAAATGAGAAGGAATCAACTGAGGAGAAATCACAAACTGTTGGTGGAGTGACAGGTTTGACGAAGAAGCCGGAGAAGCCAGAAAAACCAGAAAGAAAGTTTAACAGTCGAGAATTGATAGAGAAACAAAGGAACTGGACGTCTCATTTTTCAAAGTCACGTTCGTCACGTTATAACAGTGATCCAAACAAAACAGAAGTGCGAGTGGGTTTGAGTGCTGGTAGCGCAGAGAGTAAGACATCTGTAGTAGGTTCTCAACAGCAGGCTCAGAAGTTAACAGCTGACAGCTCTCTGCCCTCAACAAACCCAGCAGCTCGAAGTGCTTCTTTCAATGTCACAAGGCCTGTGAGGTCTCCCACTGTATCACCTCCACCTCCACCTGTTCGAGCAGGACAGGCAGCTTCACCTATCAGTCCCACAAGACAAGAGAAGAAGGTTGAAAGGTCATCAGAACCTTTACCAGTTGCCTCTCCAGTCAGGGACGCCATTTCAGCCAGGTATTTGGAGTACTTCTTCGTAACATTATGCATAAAATGCTCAAAATATTGAAAAACGAAACAGTAGCTGATAAATCATTCTAACATTGCCCAACGAAGTTTGTATTATAGCATTATGAACATGTCTGCTATTGCTGTGAGTAACAATGAAACCTACAAGGTTTGGTATTCCAGAGTGTTAACACATCAATTCCTCTTGAATATGAAGTCTGAAATAATAATTACTACTCTATAACATTCTGTGAAATTCTGAAGTTGAAAGATTGGGTTTCATGGGGTGTTCCCATATTAATTGAATGTTTACTGTCAAGCCTCTTAATTGCATTATCGTAAATGTACTCTAATGGTCAGTATGTTTTATTGTATTATGTATAACAGTGTATCATATTTTCCAAGCAATTGATGATGATTCAACTGCTTAAATATATTCTGTCTTATAAAACACAAAAAGTCATCACTGTACAGTTCGGAAGACCTGAGAGCCATTTACAAATAGCTGAGAGTAATTGCAGCACAATTACATTTCTTAGCTGGCCACATTATTGACTTCTGCCACACAGCATTGTTAAATAAACTATGAGATATTTTGTGTAATAAATTAGTTTAGATATTGTTTTACAGAATTACCTCTTTTGATTGACTATATTTACCTATCTCAAATTGTTTTGAATTTAGTTTCTCATCTTTGCATGCACTCAAGATGGCTGACAAGCCAAAAGACTAGTGAATTTAAAAGGATCTATTACGATAAATGCAGATGGTTAATCGCGAAGATATCTTAGGAATGCACATCAGAGACATGAACTCAGTCAGGCTGTTACAGAGATGAAAGCTGCAAAATGTCATATCTCAGTTTGGATTACAGTTTATAGATACATTCTTTTTCATTTTTGATCTCCTAGTTATTTTTATGTTTCTTTAAAGCAGTCAAAACTCTATTGTCAACAGAGTGTCAGCATTATAAGAGGGCTCATTGGTCAATTCATTTTACTAACAGCAACCATTTTTATGTTCCTGTGTTTACGGTTTATATTAACCTTCATGTGACACTGTATAAACTGCTTATGGTAATTGATATGATAGTCTCCAGGCAGGCATTTCGATCACATTTGTCTGGTGTGGCCTTATGTTCAGCATCTCTTAAAACAACTCCATTTCATTTTCCAGTGTCAAGGATGAAAAATTGAGACAGCAGCAGCCTAAATTATCACCAGATGCAAACAAAATATCAGCCAGTACTTTCATGGGTAAGATAAATATTTCAGTTATTGAAATACACAGAATGTGCGATAATTATTTGTAACTTAATTGCTTTGTATTTGGGGAGTTCGTTTATATTAGCTTTATGTTGCAGGAGTTCTTATTACCTATAAATTTTTGCCATTTATGGAATCTTTAATTTTCATGCTCTGAGAAAATGTCCAGTTTTACCCTCTTTTCTCTAGATGAGATCTGAAGTTCTTAGAGCGATGAATATTAAGATTGTGGTCTTCTGGGATGTGACACTTAAGTACTTACATTGTAGAAGAATGTGCTGCCTCCATCTACAAGGGGGAGATGAAAGATGGAGATTATTCTAAAATGTTGGTACCCATCTACTGAACTACACAACAGTGCATTCCAAAGGGCCATACTGTCCATGATTTATGCTAACCGTCTTACAGTGCATACACTTTTTTCACCTTACTCTTCTCTTTTGCTCTACATGTTTGAGCACTAATGTGCCATCTTCAGGTGCGTTTTCTCTATGCACGTCTAACTACTGCATTGCATGCCCTGATGTCTTCATACTAAAATGAGTAAAGTACAAGGTGGTTCAAATATGACCGGGACTGATTTTTTTGTAAACAAGCTGCACTTCTCAGCAGCTGTGCGACCTTGCGAGAGTGAAGCCACAACCTCCACCCTCCCTCCTGTTATGGTTAGAACCTGTTCAGTGCTGTCTGGAAGTTGCTAGAGTGATGAGAGAACAGAAGCTACTGCGGAGCGTTGAACAACGCATTGTGATCAAATTCCTCGTTGGAGAAAACGTCCAGTCCACTGAAATTCACCACAGACTCCAACAACAGTATGGGGAAGAGTGTCTCTCATGGACCTGTGTGTTTGAGTGGTGTAAGTGCTTCAGAGAGGACAGAGAGCGCGTGGAGAATGAACCGCATGATCATTGGCTGTGAACATCCATCACTGAGCCGAACATTGATCGTACAGATGTGCTTATTCGTGAGAATAGGCTCATCACCATCAAGGAACTTGGAGTAAGATCCGATCCAAGCGGAAGACAGGTGGAAAGCGGGTAGCCTTCCTTCAAGACAATGCACGCCCCCATACGTCCAAAACAACAATGGAAACCCTTCGGAAATTGAAATGGAACCTTCTGACACCTCTGCCGTGCAGTCCTGATTTGGCCCCAAGTGATTTCTACCTGCTCAGAAGGCTCAAATCAGACTTGCAAGGCATGTGGTTTGTGGACAATGACGCCATCATCCAGACTGTTCGGGAGTGGATATGCTGCCAACCACAAGTCTTTTTTTTTGGGGGTATCAGGATGCTTCCAGAAAGTTGAAAAAATGTGTTGACTCTGGAGGGGAGTACGTTGAAGACTGACATATGCAAGTAAGTGTTTGGCAATTATGTTTTTTTTTTAAATCAGTCCCGATCATATTTGAACCACCTAGTATATATTCGTCATATATAATAATAGATAATGTTAACTGTTCTCCATGTTATACAAGGAAAGGCGGCTTATGGTTCGTGTTAAGTGGGCACTTAGTCACTGCCATGTGGCGCATCATTATGTTGCGCATTGAGTAGATGGCATCCAGGTATGAAGGGCAGCTGTAGATGTACAAGCAGTCAATGACACCCAGAGCACCCAGTGCTCTTCCACTTTGAGGATTGTATAGGTTTGAGGTGGAGACCAACAGTTCTTTGCCATAAAGATCCAGAATGTTACATACTGCCTCAGAGTTGTGGGCTGTTGTGCACCTGGTAAAAATCCTTGGGTCTCATTAAAATGCAGGGAATTTATTGATTAGGTGAGGAGTCATCACCTTCTCAAGAAGTACAGGTATGTGACGTCATCAGAATCCTTTGACGACCCTATTAGTAAGTTTAAAACCAGTCGATGGACCTTCATGAAATTTGGTATGATCAGGTCACTAGAGACTCCTTCACCTCTGTATTTCATAATTTCCTGCCATCAGTTGTAGTTTGTAGTTATGTTTGAGAGACTGGAAATAGTAGATAATGTGCCCAGAATTTGGTTCCTAATTAATATGAATTATTAATTTATCGTTCTTTGTGGCTTCACCGTGTAGATTGAAACATTTGGAGTGATATATGTGATGCCTTTCTTCCTAGAACTTCTTCTTGTTGTCTGTTCTTAACTATTGTTCTTCCCAATAGAAACTTAAAATTCCTAGTACATACACTGTAGCACTTTTTTAATCTAGTTGAATTTTGGATTATGAATTACTGTATCAATTCCAGGTCAGCATTAAACTGCAGAGAACTGATACTGATCTGAATTTATTCTCTAGCTTATTTCATAAGCAGGCTCTTTTGAACAGGGTAATGAACATTGATCCCTTAAAGGGTAGCGAATTTCATGACTGTCTTAGCAACAGGGATGCTCGCTGGAGCCAACTTGTGAAGACCTCTTGGAAATATAGGCATGAAATGGAATTCCCCTATCACATACTTTGTCCAGCTCTGGTTAGGCATAAAATAGAGATCTTCAGCTATGCATGGCTGGAGCCAGTTGACATCAGGAGGGCTTCAGTCAGGATGATTTTGGCTCTAGCTTTATGATCAGGGCTCCTTGGAGGATTGTAATAAGACCAGGGACACAGAATGGGCCCACTGGTGGTCTGAGGGTATGGGATCCTCTGTAAGTCAGTACCAAATACAGTTATCCCTTCTTTTATGAAAACTCAATTTATGAATTTTCGCTACCACTAAGCATATTCACTTAATGAATTTCATTTTCACCATGGCAAACAACTTACATTCATAAGTTCGGTGACATTTACATCTAAAATACTTGGAAACTTACTTTTCAGTTTATGAATAACACTTTTCATCAAATGAGTTAACTGTCATAAATTGAGGGATAACTGTATTAGCTTCTCAAGGACTATGCCATGCAGTTCATTAACTCATTTGGTGATATTAATTAGAAAACTATATGATTTATGGTTTCAGTCTTTTGCTGCAGTTGAAATGCTTTGTAATGTTCAGACCATAAATATTGATTTCAAGAAAACATTTTAATATCTGAAAACAGATTCTTTTTTCTGTGTTGATATTAGTAGCCTGTAAAGTACAAGTTAGTCCTGTTTATTCAGCTAGTTCCAATAAAAACATAGGGTATGGAGATGTTGGCCCATATCCAATGGGGGTGTGATGCAGGAAGGCGGAGGAGGGAACTATTTATAACTAGTCTGCATCTTGGGAGGGAATCTCCAGCCACTGAAACAGTTTTCTCTGTTAAAGAGAGTGAGCAGTGTAGCCACAGAAAGCTGCTGTTAGTCATCACACACTGGCTGTAGGGTTTTTGAATGGAGACTGATAGAAAGTTCACTGCACTGCTCTTCATGTTCATAAACACAAGACTGTGCAGCAAGTGTTGTGTGTTGTTTTGTGTGCACTTGGTTACATAAGTGTATAAAATAAAGTTCTTGATATAACTCACTAAAATGGGGATCTAGCAAGTCTTCACAAATCTGCAGCATCATATTCTAAATGCCAGAATCCTTGATTTAAACCAGTATTTCATTATTATATTTCACTTAATTGGATAGTGTTCCAAATATTGTGTTTTATGAAGAAATTTTATCTATGTTTGTAGGACATAATTAAACTTAATATGAACACATTTTTGTGTTCTCTTTCTACAAATTACAAAAATTGAATAGGTATTATATTATATTTTTATGGAAATACCATGAATCTTATAATGCATAACTACATAATAAAAGAAAACCCTGAGGCATACAAACATCTTCTTGTGTGATCAGACTTGTCAGTGTTAAGTTAAGGACCAACGTTTCAGAGATCTTTGAGCCAGTTTTTAACCCAGCATTGACACAGCTGATCACCTGAGAAGATATTAGTACATTTATTCACTGTGAAACTAAGGCCCTTATTGTAGGTTCTTTAATTTTGTGTTAATTTTGGTAATATTGGTTTGTCATTATTTAGATAGCTGTAACCATAAGCTATTAAAATTAATGTGATATATTTATTTTACTTAGTAGTTTTGTGTCATAGCTTAAGATACATTTTGCTAGTTCTCAAACTCATAGGATGCTATACGAATGGAAATATGATTCCTTTTAGTGTTGGCTGCAAAGTTGAATTGTTATTTTAAAGGTTTATATATATTATAATTTTATATTAATATTACTACATCATACTTTGTACATAAGTATCAGAGTAGCAGAAAGAAGGAAACTGTGATATTCTACAAATGTTGTTAACATTTGTTAAAACTTCAGCTATGTAGGATACAAATTTAAGTAAAACCATGCATTCTATTTTTGTCCTCTTTAAAAAAAATATTACAACACATTTTTCAGTGTTTTATTAGAACTATATATGTATGAAGAATGCAGTCTTCTAGGTTGTTATTGCCTGCAGTTATGTAGAAGTCGGCCATTGTTTCAAAGGAATGTACTGCCTCCATCTTCAGAGCCAAAGAGTAAGCAAAGCCAGAAGCACACTGAAAGTGTTCATTTCCAATTATCTGTGTTCAGCAGTCATTGTGATCATACCCAAAACCTCAGTTATCCCATGTTTTTCAGTTATACACACATCTTTTCCCTTTCATTAGCATGGATAATTGAGAATATTCTGTATATAATTTGCAGTTACAGATAATAAAATTTCTCATTGTCAGTGTTGCAGTATTAAAATTAACTTCTGTAGCCTATACCACCTTTGTGTCCATAATACACTCAGTTTTATGGTTTGATGCATTAAAATAATGGTGTATATTTTAAGCACATAGAAAATTCAAGACTAAATTGCCATATTTAGGTATTCTTGTATGATGTTTATTGAGATAAATTACTCTTTGGTTAGGAAAGGTATGAGATCTGTAAAAATGTTTTAACTGATTTTTCATCCTTAACTACTTTCAGTGTAAAATATGTATACATTTCATGAGCTCATATAACTTAATAGACTTTAACTGACAGAGTAGATTGGTGCAGAGGTAGTGCAGGATGCAGTGAGTTTGAATCTCAGCTGAGACATGGGCTATCATGACTGAGGTTTGTTTGTGGATTTCTTCAGTGTCTCCAGGCAAATACTGGTATAGTACCTCAGTTAGGCTTGCTTCAAATCGTTTCATGTTCATCATTCATTAATTATTCTGCCATTTTATGTTTTGTATTCTGGATGCTGACAGCATTAAGAAATAAACTACAAATAAAACTTAACATTAGTGGGGTTTTTTGACATTGTGCATTGTTCGGTGCTCTCAAGAACAGTGATTCTAAAACCAGTGATTGACATTAGCTCTTTCTAACAGACTGAACATAGTAGATGTCTCCTGCCCCCCTCACCTGAGGACAGAAACAGATCCAATTTCCAGACTTTTGTGTTCTGTAGAATACCAGACAATGGAGAAAGTCCAAGAAACCCAGTAATCCTGAGAGTTATACATCATCGTCAGACCACTTTAGAATCTGCAAAAGTAAACGTTAACTAAATTCATAAAATCATGAAAGTTATTATTGGTGTACGTTATGTTGACATCATAATGTCTTTATTTTGGTATTAATGACTTACAACTTTGCAGCCTAGTTTAATATTGCTGTGTTAGACTATGGGTTTTGTTACTGTTTTTAGCTTTCACAGTGATTAACTTTTGATGATATATTGGTTATGGGGTAGTTATGTTGTGTGAATGTGTGCTGTGTTGCTGACAGTTCAGAGTTACTGCTGCCTCCATCTTTGGGATTGACACTGAAGATGGAGGCCATGTGGATTATGTTTTCATATAAAGAAATAGGAGCTGTGTTAGTACATGAAAGTGAAGTGGGGTGAAGGTATAATGCAGAAACGTTCATTGTTTGCATTGTGGACAGCTGCTGTTGGAGCGAACAGTACACCCTAGGAGTGGCAGTGTCTCTATCTAAGACTGGTTGCATCCTCTCTGTCTCTGTGTATGTCTCCCACAAAATATGTGTCTGCGTCTTCTGTGCACAAGTTGCTCGGGTATGGTCTTAATGGTGTGACGTGTCATTTGTTGTGAACATTGCTGAAAATAGAGAGTAACAGTTTTGTCTCATTTGAATATAAGCTTCTCACAGTGGTGACTATGATGAGTTTGATCTTCTGGGTAACCCCTTGTGGTTTGGTAGGCGTTCACTGATGTTTCAGAGAAGTGTATCACCTCCATCTTTGGGGTTTAAGAGAAAACCAAATAAGAATTGTCACCTTCTTCTTCCTAGTTTATTCCTTGGCTTACTCTTCGACCCTGAAGACGGAGACCATACGCTCTCCAAAATGTTGGTAGATTTGACTTGACCTATATGGCATGACAGTTCAACCCAGAAGGTCATACTGTTTCACCCTTTATCAGTTTTTGCCCCCAGTCACTTACATCAGCATGATTTGCATACTGTAAGTAATTTTATGCTTCTTAGTCTTACAGATGCAAGTAAACTTAATATTGGAATTATTTTTATGGGCATGCTGCAAGTGGAATTATAAATTATTGTTGTTACCAAACATAATAATCACGGCAAAAACTTCTTTGTTTTACATTCGAGTATTATTTGAACCAGGCTATAAGGCAAACAGGTCAGTCTTTAGTCTTGCATTTGGAAGGTGCTTGGTTCTAATCTTGGGAACAACACATTCTGCCCATACTGAGATTTTTGTGGGTTTCTGAGCTCCTCTGAGCAAATTCTGGGATGGTACCTCAATTACAATATGGCATCTTCTTTCCAAACCCTTTCGTAATAATCAGCGACTCTGTTCATTTAATCCCATCATCAGTGATCCTATTCCCTGTATAGACTTGATCCTGATGGCATCATTAAGTGACCAATTAGAAATATCTTGCAGTTTGTCTCATTCTTCTGTCTGCTCAGCCATTTAAATTTGGTAATGACTTCTGCTCCCGAGCCATTACCAGCATACAATGAAACATAAGCTGTCTTTTATATAGCTGAAAAAAGTGAAATATAATTCACCATAAATATAATAATATAAAATATATAATAATAATTCAATGGAGCAGAACCTTAGAGAAGTTAATAGTTGATCATCTACTCAAGATACTTCCCATCTCTTATGAAATCTCAAGGTTCATTACATTGTTCACAAGAGCCTGCCAATGGAATATAAACATTTTTCTTTTATATGAAATTTGTGGAGTAGATGCAGTGCCTGTAGCATGTGTAATGATAAATGATGATGGAGGATTTTGGAAATTGATGGTTTTGAAAGGGGTTATTGCTTAATACATTTTATAACGTCCTGTATGAAAATGATAACAGTGGATTATTCAATTTTAACGTCTTCTGAGTTTAGCTGTTCTATCTTTTTTTAAGTGTTATCTCCATTTTTATGTGAAAATGAGATAATGCATTTTTCTGATTTTCTCTGTTGTGTTACACTGCCTGCACTTAATGTCATAGGTTTACCTTACTTGCAAGTGTCAGATTTCAGACTGTTGTTTGTTCTAAGTAACATTTAAATTCCAGTTGATTCCCCTATCACCTTATACCAGCTGCTGTTCATGCTGGTGTTGGTGTAATTATGTAGTATCCATTTCACTGGTGAACACTGGGGCAGGCCAGGCATCTGTTCCCCTCCAAATTTTGGGGGAGAAAATCAAAATTGATAAAAGGGGACCAAAAATTAAAAAAAAAAAAAATGGAAAAAATTATCATCCTGTCCTGAATACTCTAAGGCAGTCAGTAAAAATAGCCAGAGTAGGCTTGAACATAAATTGTAAGCACATTTTTTGGCATGTCCCCCCCCCCCAAAAAAAAACAGACAGTGCCTTCTAAAAATTTTGGCAACATGCATGTTTGTGGGTATGGAAAGGGAAGTGGGTGATAATGCATTGCCAATGAAATCAGTGTCAAGGGAAGAAAGTCAGCCTGAGCCAAATACTGACTGTACTCTCTGCTGTAAGTAAGTTGGAAGATTAAGGTTAATTTTATTATTTAAGATGCGGTCTTTTTCTGCAGCCCTCTTCAGTGTTTGGTGGTTGTATGTTTATTTTTACAGTTACTTTACATTCAGTTACATGTTCACAACCTGTTTCTGTCTTATGTGGTCATCATCAGGTATACTAATTAAGTGGTATAAGGTGTTTCACTATATTTTGCTCCTGTTGGAAGAAGCTTAGTTATTGCAACAGGATGTTGAAGTATATTATTAAGAGTAAGGTATTATTCTGACTCCTGCCACAGGAAGTGCTAGAGGACCTTTATGGAGATTGATTTTTTGTTATTTATTTTAATTTAAACAAGCACAACCAAATATGTTATTAAGACAACCAAGATGTATTGGAAATGCGAATATATTTCGGTTTTTTTTTTTTAAGAAACACCGATGACATGATTATCAAGGCATTAGTTTAAACATCTGTATTAAAATATGTACTAAGATTTTAACCAGTAAGTTGCTAACATAACAGAATGAATACTGGAACAACAGCACGATTAAGGAAGGGTGTGTACTGTATAGTTTCCATTTGCTCATACACAGTTCACTGAAAAACAGAGAAACTGCAGTATCTCTCTGTCATGGTTTTCATACATTATGGAGTGATCATTGAGGCTTAATTAAAATAAGCTGTGGAAAGTAATGAAAGTAGTCATTCCACAGCACCTTATGAATGTTACAAATAGCTTATATATAGACACCACAGTACGGGTAGAAATCACAGGAATTATAAGTAAAATGGCAATAACAAGGAACCAGTGGTTTTGACAGGAACAATTCTAATGCAGTTTCAGATTCAAATGAAAATTGTGTTCTTTACTGATATCATTGGCTTTCTTCTAAAACCATGTATGTCCGATTTTCATCATATTTCCATACAAAAGAAATGCCCTATGCTTGTATCTGATACCATGTATCTTGATGTTTGTGCCCATGGTAACTTTTCCAGTAAGTCCATTGATATAATGTATCCCAATAGACCGCCTCTGTGGTCTAGTGGTCAGTGTTCCTGGCTACAGATCGAGAGGTCCCAGGTTCCCGGTGCTGCCAGTTTTTCTGAGAAGTAGTGGGTCTGAAACAGGTTCCACGCAGCCTCATGAGGATAATTGAGGAGCTACTTGAAGGGAAACGTAGCGGCCCCAGTTTAGAAACCAGTAATTAACGGCCATGGGGATCCGTTGTGCTGACCTCGCAACACCCTCTAGCCGCTAAAGTTGGCACTAACTTCTCCAACAAGCAGTGTTCACTCAGTCGGTATTCTTTGCTTCAAGACTAAAGCCATGGAGTTTGTATGTTTGTTTTTTTGTTTGTAGTATTATGGGTTACAAAACGTTTTTAGTGTCTCCTGGAAAATTTAATGATTTAAGTGATACATAGTTTCCATAATGTGTATATAGTAACTGTCTTTTAGTGCATACAATTTCACTTGTCACTTCACACTACATGTTTCAGCATCATTCTGCCATCCTCAGGTGTATTAATCACGTTATGATGCCGAAACATGTAGTGTGAAGTGACAAGTGAAATTGTATGCACTAAAAGATGGTTAATATATATACATTATGGATATGAATCAGTGCAGCAGGATGCTAAAATACAACGATACATAGTTTGTAAAGTCAACAATGTTGTCATTATTGTTATGAAGTGGAACTGTGAGGTTATGCCAAGCTAGACCGGTGTATAAATAAGATAGGCTTTTTTAAATGTGTGTTTAGGGCAAGGAAGTGATGCTGGTAGTGAAGGTAATCTTGCTGTACCATCATCTGGGGATGCAGAGAAGCGATTGCGGGAGGAAGAAGCAGGAGAAGTTCGCAATGACGTTGCCCATGTTGACAAACGCAGCAAGAAGATGGTCTCTTCAGTTCAGCTTCATCTTCAAGCAGCAGGGCTTGGTCCTACAAGACCAGTATCTGTAGCTAGTTCTAAGGATTCTCTCCCATCACCAGAACCCAAAATAAATCATTTTTCACAGATTGAGTCCAATATTTCCAGTGGAAATGCTGGTGATATATATCCTCCTGCACCAATCACAAATTCAGTGCTTCGTGAACTGGAGAGTCAGGGCTCGGACAACACTTCTTTGTTACCGGCAGCTAGATACACCGAGGTCACCAATCATGAATGTAGTGAAAAAGTAGAGGAATCTAAATTGTTGCAAGTTTTAGGTCAGGGAGACACTTTTACTCGGAGATATAATAAAGATACAGTTGCAAAATCACAATCTGATGAAGAAGAAGCCAGTAATAAGGAACTTGTTTCTAAGATTCAAAAGGAGGAGACTTTTATGAATTTAAAAGCAAGGTCACTGCCGTCACCTCAACATCAAGAAGTAGTGAAAACAACTGGTAAAGAACAATTTGATGTGGAAAATGAATCAGTATTATCAGCTAGAACAGTTCTGCATGACACTTGTGCTCCAAAAAGTCACGTAAACACCAAGAAGACAAGCGCCGATGTGATCGGCGGTAGTGGTTACATTGCCTCTAATTTTGTATCCAGTGATGAAGATTCAGATGGCCATGTTGTCTCAAAACCAACAACAGATGTTGTAGATAGTAGCAAAATGAAGGACGTTACTGGTGATAGCTGTGCATCAGTGACAGAACAGTCCACCGAGGTCTCCCGTCAGGAATCGGAGCCATTTCTGGTATCTCGATCAATTCTCCGTCCTGAAGAAGTAGGTACTGCCACTTCAGTTGCTCCCATTTCTGTGACGACAAGAACAGGGTCACCCCAGCATCATGAGGCGTCATCAGAAGCAAGTATCTTAGACTTGCAGGATGTTGAGTATGCTGATGCTGATGCAGAAGATGGAGATGATGAAGCCGAACATGAGGAGGAAAGAATAAAGGCACCTGATGAATTCTCACAGCAGGTATGTGGAAGATAAAATTTCCATTCTGCCATTTAGTTCAATGAACAGGGTTGCATTAAGATTTTTCAAGGCCATAAGCTGTGATAAAGATGAGGCCCCTGTAAATTAACAAGAAGTTGTGGGAAGAACTAACCGCCTTCCTTCCTTTGATGTGATGTGAACCACAGAAAAAATTATTTGTCCAGTTGTTGGAGGCAGTGTTTTCTCTGCGGTCCACCCTGAAGTTACATAAGCAGGAAAATGAGGAGGGATACGAAGCCAGAAAGGTGATCTCATGGGGCTTTCTTTTATTTTTTTTTTCAGAATAAGGAAAGTAGGCTAAAAGGAAAGTATTTTAGAAATAAACATTAAAAATTTGTATTTGAACAACTATATAGGCAGACTTTTTCATGCCAGGTCTTCTAATAAAAAATATGAAAGACTGTATTTTGATAAAAAGAACAGTAATTAATTACTAAGAAATGTTAATTTGTATGTAAAAACAAAGTGTACGTGGAACTATACAAATATGTAAAAACCAGCATTTGCTTCACAACGTCTTCACCAGAATTGAGAGCAAGGTGTGGTGCCAGATTCTATTTTTTTTTTTCAGTTTCTTAAGGTATTTCCATAAAGATGTATAGTGTTTTTGAACTGCTGGATAAACCACAATAGAGTGAAGACCTTTTGGATGAATTTGCTGTTGCATTATTTTGTATGTAGGTTCCTTTTGAGATAATGCCATCTGCAGCTCATAGAGGGAAAGACAAAGAGCAGGATGATGATCGGCAACAAGAAGCACCTCGAAGCCTGACTTCTGATGTCCCTGAGACCATGACGCCAGACGAAGCAGAAAATTTGTTGAGTTCGAGGTGAGTGCCCTCTGGTGCAACATTGTATTTTTGATTACTAGCAAATAAACAGTGGATAAACAGTAGTTAAATTTGGGGTTGGATTAAGCATTATATCACTTTTATTGATCTGTAAAGTTGAGAGAAGTGTTTTGACATACTAGTACTGCGAATGAATTATTGGTACTTGATACACTAAACTCCAAGTTATCCAGTAACCATGCATCTAGAACTCTCATGCAACCAGCAAAACATTTGAAAGAAGATGTTGTGTTTTGTAAAATTACTGCAGAAAGGAAGTTCCAATGAGTATATGTTCACTCAGCACACATTAGTTCTCCCAACCACCACTAGCAGCTCTATCCATCATATTCTCTTCCACATCTCTCACACAGGTGCCATTACAACTTAGTATTATGTGATTACAGTAGAGGTTATTTGAATTTTTGATCATGTATTAGTGTATCTGAAACCTTTCACTGATCAATCTGCTACATCTCTTAAGAAGATACCCAAGAACTTAAGTGAAGGTTTGTTGTTTTGACTTAGAAACAGAAGGACTGGAAAAGGTTGTAACGTTTTGTGAGAGTATTCTTCTTGCAATTATCAGATTCATGTAACTGGCACAGCCCATTCCCCATATGTTCTGGATAATAAGGAGTTTACTGTATGATATTTTTGCATTTTTATTTTTAGTAATGGCTTCTATAGTATCAGCATATTCAATTTATTTTGCTGTGTTTTATTTCATACAATAGACTCTTGATTATGATAGGTGAATTGCACTGTTGCTGATTTATATAGGGTGTTGAAATGTTTCATGAGTACAGTGATGTTATTCGCATAATTATAGTGCAATTGTTTGAGGGAATGTGATGCATAAATTACCGAGAGAACTCACGCAACACATGTGGGTTTTCTGCATTCATGGACAGCCAGTGAAGGGCCTGTCCCTGCTTTACATCTATTCATCATTAAATATGGTGAACTTTCATACAGCAGAATTTGGGAGAGACAAATTTTCTAACTTTTTTAGAAGTTGATAGATCTTGAAAAAGTATCATATCATTTTGTATCATGCACCAGAATCTCATGTGATTCATAGAGGATTGTTATGCAGAACTTCTAGTGTATTCAGTTGAATGTATTCATATCTTGTATCTAAAGAGTTAAGTGTGCCAGTAAAAGGTTCTGTGAAATTTCCTAGTCTTATATAATTAGGTGTTCATATATGTTTCAATTAATACCTCTTCCATTATTAGTTAATTTTGTCCTTAACCAGTAAAATGCATATTACATTAATCTTGTAAACAGGTCTCCAACTAAGCTTATGATAAATCACAGACAGATCTATCACTGACGTAACTATATTTATATCACCCTTGAGCCAAATAATATTCTTTATTAGCAGTTGTCATGACTAGATTTTTTTATTATCTTCGGTTGGTGTATGACCACCTCTGTGGTCTAGTGTGTCAGAGTTCCTGGCTACAGATCAAGAGGTCCCAGGTTCGATTTTTGTCGGTACTAAATTTTCTGAGAAGTAGTGGGCCTGGAACGGGGTCCAGTCAGCTTATGAAGATAATTGAGGAGCTATTTCAAGGAAATAGCAGCTCCAGCCTAGAAAACCTAGATTAACGGTTGTGGAGATCCGCTGCACTGACCATGTAACACCCTCTATCCGCAGAAGTTGGCACTAATTTCGCCAACATGTGGCAGTTGCTCGGTCGGTATAGTTTGCATCCTGACTACAGGCTGTGGAGTTTGTTTTGTTTGTTTGCTTCTGTTAGTTTGTCCAGCTTTATGTACTTTATTCACTCTTTTTAGTGTAACTAATTCCAAGTAATCTAACTAAAACTACTGGAAGTGTGTACATTTACATCCTTTCGAAGGCATATTGTTCATACTAAGAAGTTTTGTCTCCATGAACAAACACTTGCCTGATATTTGAGACATCCTGTCCTTCCTCCCCATTCTGTCTGGGGGAAATGTGGATTAATAGCTTAAAGCAGATCACATTCACTTGCTTCAACATCCTATCTCTTCTCAGCAGGCATAATTTCTATTCCATGTTTGTCACTTGTTGCCACATTGGCATGACACTTAATACAGTACAGATCCTGCTCAAGTTGTGCAGACCTTCCCATATACAAATCTGGTTTCGTGTGAAAGCATACCAGAATAAACTTAAATTGCATATGGAAGTTCATATTAACACTTTAAGAAGGTTTTCTTACTCTGTCACCAGCCAAGTTCCTGGTCACAAATGAAGCTGCCAACATAAACATCAGACATGTGATAATGCGCAGTCTGATCAGGGCTNGTGGGGGGGGGGGGTGGTGATGGTGATATGTGAATATGGAACAGTGATGGACATGCTAGTGTTAAATTACTTTTACTGCCCTTAGGGTATCATTGTATGCAATGTGACAAACAATAATTTCTTACGCGAGTTTGGCTTGTGCAAGGATTTGCAGAACTGAATTCTTACTTGAATTGGGGCCGTTATGTTGTAAAATAATTTAATAGTAATAGGAGCACTACCGCCTCTGTGGGCTAGTGGTCAAAGTTCCTGGCTACAGATCCAGAGGTCCGGGTTCGATTCCCGGTGCTACCAGATTTTCTGAGAAGTAGTGGGTCTGGAACGGGGTCCACTCAGCCTCGTGAGGATAATTGAGGAGCTGTTTCAAGGAAAATGCGGCTCCAGTCTAGAAAACCGAAATCAGCGGCCGTGGGGATTCATTGTACTGACCACGTGACACCCTCTATCTGCTAAAGTTGGCGCTAACTTCACCGACAAGTAGTCGCTCGGTTGGCGGGTATAGTTTGCTTGTGGACTAAAACCATGGAGTTTGTTTGTAGGGTTTTTTGTGTGTGTTTGATAGCAGCACTAATAACTGACATCATGAAGCAGAGTCCTTGAGGAGCTAATAGTTATTCATTTCCTCAGAAATTCACAGCCTTTTGTAGAACCTGAAAGTTCATTACTGTGTTTGTAAGAGCAACCACTGGTTGAGTACAAGACTATGTGTAACATTTCATAACACTGTTAGGAGTTGTTAACACTCCATCCAGCCCCCGAGCTGGAGAACTGCCCCGTATTGGCTCTCTGAAACTACATATTCAATATATTTGCTGCTACGCACCATATCTGGAGGCCACCTCATCTGTTTACAACCTCAGGACATGCCATGCCATGGTGAGAAGGGGTCCAGTAATAGTTATATAAAGTAAACTTAATGGCGTGTGTTTCATATAAGGAAGGTAAGGTGTTGATAGATGCTGAATATATGACCCTTGAGGGTTATAGTAGCTGGCATAGGAAATGAGACATAGCTGAGTTACAAAGCAGGTAATGGAAAATGATATCTGTTTCCCTTGAAATATGGGATGTACTTAGTACATAACCCTAATCAAGAGTCTGTTGTCTGTGAAACATAAAATGTCAAGAGTAAATAGAGATGCCATATTGTAGGGATTTGTTTCCTCACTTACATGTGAAGATTTACAGCTCTCATCTTTTGTTTTATGAAGAGACTTTGTCAAATGTCTCTGTAGTTCAAGTTCATAACAATTTAAGTGCCAAACATGGTGAACATGCATTTTAGGAAAAGTTAACGAAGATGAGACATAGAATTGCTGCTTTCAGATTTTAGCCTCTGATAGGTTTGTAGTGTTCAATGAATTTGTTACACATGCCACATTTGTGCATGTTAAATCCACACAGAAATTGGCATCTCTGTGTGTGCATTAGCATTAAATGAATGCATGGATGCTTAGTGCTGTTGCATGATCAGTAGCTTCAAATAATATAATTGAAAGGAATTCAGTTATCTGACCTGACACTCTGATCTAGAATGAATTTCATTTCAGAATAACATATATTTATATAACATCTTTTTATTTCAGTTGTATCTTTTTTAATTTGATACCATTAAAGAGTGCTGTCTGTTTGATAATAAGAATAATCAAATACCACGGATACACATTGCTTTATTCAATAGATCAAAAGTTCCACCATAAAATGAACTTGAAGTTTTCAAGGTTGAGTGGGCAGAGAAGGAAGAATGTGTTTAATAGGTTATGGTAGTAGAATCCATAGTACTGTATACCTGAGGGTGATGAATTTTCATGTGAAATTTGAGGATACTACATCAGTGACTATGATGAATATGGTATGGGTTATGATTCCACATAGTCTGGTAGAAGTTTACCAGTGTTTTGAAGGAACATACTGCCTCCAACCTTAGTGTTCAGGCAAGCAGAGTAAGGATTGGTGGTTGCTTGTTTGCTTGCCTTATTCTTCTACCTTGAATATGGACACAGTGTGTTCCTCTGAAATGTCAGTAAATTTCTACCATGCTACACAGCATCACATCCCAAAAGATATGTTCTACGTGAACTTTCAGTAATATTTAACCTCTTTTCTTTAATAGGTCTTAATAATTTTCATGTCTTTAAGATAAACATATTTTGAAGCCCATTTATGCTCTGAAGAAGGGATTGCTTTTTATTCCCCTTTTAATGTCTATATTTTTGTTGCAAGACAAGTCAGTTTTACAGTATTTGAAAATTGTATGCAAATATGAAGTGACAGTTCCTTGTAATGAAATATATAAGTAATCCATTAGTTTAAACATTTTAACTGTTAGCAACATTTGAATTAAATTATTCATGAAGCCAGTTTAATTACTGTATTAGAGCAGTTCTGTTAGACAAATTGAATTACTTAGGTCACAGAACCTGTGTAACATTTTATATCTTGTAAGATTTGAGGTTTTCACAGTGGTGACTGTGAAGAATGCTGCCTTCTGGGATGTGGCACCGTGTAGATCTTGTGTGAACCATCCCAGAAGATGGCATTCTTCATTTTATGTCTTGCACATTAACTTAGACATTATATTTGTATTCAGCCTGATTTCATAAACAGTTTGTTACACTGTTAAGGCAGAGCATATAACGTTGTGGGGTCAGTGAGTCTTTAAGTACCATATTTTAATGCAGCAGACACACTAACACTCTTCGTTTTATGACTTCTCTACTGCATCTCCCTCTTTAATAACAGCAGCAATATGAATGTAGATTATTCTGATTGTTAAGTAGGTATGTCAGTGCTCTTTAATTTTAGCACCAGTTCTTATATGCATGAATGAAAATTAGTAACATATTTCTAACTTGTGATATGTAGTTGTGTAATGCCATGAGAGACTTTAATACAGTAATGTAAGAAATCTGCATTGCTTGCCAGTTAACTAATTTCTGTTGTATTTTCTGCTCTTCTTGATGTTCTCCTGTACCTGCAGCATTCTGGAAAAGAAAATACGGTGAGTTTTGTTGAGACCCATTCGGTGTTGGTATTCATATGGAGAATTGGCTCTTCTGTCAAAGAATTCTTACTCACATATATAATAATAATCCTGTGCTATAATCTAACATTTCATTAACTTAATTCATATTGACAAATGAAAGAGATTGGGTTCCCTTTGTATTCCATCGCAAAGTAAGAGATTTGGCTCCTCAATTGTCAAACTTTAAATAGTATCTACTGTGCATCTGAGAAAAAGTAAAGGGACCAAATCGGCTCATACTTCACACAGTATAATTAAAAAATACAATATTTAAATCACAGTAACAGACTGAAGACTATAATGCATAGACACTCATCTGAACTTATAGGTTATGTTTATATCTATCAAAGCAAACTATTAATTTTTATCAGGGTATGGATATTGAATAGTAGTAAATGTGTTGCAGGAAAGTTCACTGAACTCTTACAACTTTTGTAAGAACTTATGTTATTGCTGATGTTGGTGGTACATGTATGCAATAAAGTGCATGGTAATGATGGTTGTAAATGTAAATCTTTGTCACCTTTAGCATACAGAAACACTGAGTTCAGGGAGTTACTATGTCCATCTTTAGTTCTACATCATGGGAGATGTCAAAATATTTCTGCAAAAATACCACTTAGAAACTGATCTATGATATCCATCTTTTCAATTTTTGAAGGCTGTAGAACATGAAGAATCATAGTCTGTCGAATGATTTATAAAATTTTGGAATGAACTTTCAAAATTAAGAAAATGTATAAGTGGATTTTTGTAAATTTATTCAGAAATAATTTTGTGGCTTACTGTTTCTTACCAAAGTAAATGGAGAGGTTGAGTATATTTTCGTTTAGTTGTAATTGCCCTGAATTTATGTGTACAGCTCAGTTTGACAAAAGCATGAGTAATTAGGACTTCTATTAGTTTATTGTTATGTGATAGGAAATGATTATTTCTTAGAAGTAGCACAGAATTATAGTGGGAAAATTTAGTATTAATGTTATTTATTGTTGACACATGTCAAGGTCTGAGGTGTTGGATGAAGACAAATATTCATTTCGCATTGAAGAGTAAGGTCTTCTTGTATATGATGCCATGTAGTTTGGTAGATAGATACTAGTGTTCTTGAGTAGGCATACTCAGGTCTGAAATTTATGAAATTTAATCAAGAAGAGCTTGACCAAACATCTATTTTTCTGTTTAGAACTTTGAGAATTTTCAGAAAACTTTTAGTTTGTTCAGTAGCACATGGACTGCCCAATGTGTTAGAATCATAAGGGTTGACAGTGCTCACATGAATCAACTTTTCAGCAATATATTTCTGTGTCTCCCTCATCTTGATTGTGTTTTGAACTGAGAAGCCATTCTCATACATACCTGTTTTGGAGAAACCTGCTGTCTTTATCTTCAGGGTAGAAATATTTGTATTTATCTACCAAATTACATGACGTTACATGGCAGAAGACATATTCTTAGTATTCGCCACTCTGAGAACCTTGGATCTCATACTTTGCATCCTTTTAATGTGGAACAGTTTGAAAATTTATGCAAAATATCTGTATGCACCTCAAATTAAAAGTGACTTGGCATATATTCTAAGCGTCTTCGTTATAGATTGAAGGCCTGTCTTTGTTTACTAAGTTGTCCAGATTTATTATTGTAATACATTAATGTCAGGAGCTGGAATAGCTCATTTGGTATATCAACAGACTACAGACTGCATGGCTGGGGTTCGATTCCCAGTGCGTGCAGTTTCTTTCTCTTCTCCATAGTAGCTGTGGGGCCTACTCATCCTCCCATCTGATGGGTACTGAGGGCACTTTCCCTGGGGTAAAGTATCAGGGGAATGAATCTGGTCACTTATTCCATCTAGTGCCAAGGTCAAGAATGGTGGAGCTATACCTCCACTCCCCCATACACCTTCATGGCATAGCGCTTAGAGCTGTTTTGGAAGGATGTGGTAAACCTGTTACAAAATTAACTATTCCAGATTTATCAATTAGTATTATATATATATATATATATCATTGGATATGATCGTATATAACCAGCTTAACACTAATGCCTTACCTCTAAATGATTCACAGCACTAGCAAGCTCTAGATGTGATATACATAAAAAAATTCACTCTAGATTGAAATATCTATTATAACAAAGAGGTATAAATCTAACGCCAATTAATACACTTATTTCTCATGTGGCATGCAGTTATATAATTTGAATCATTACTTCTGTGCTTTGTTGTAAGTTTCAAAGCCATTCCTATTCACAGGTGATGGTTCAGTCACTAGAGGTTTCATGTAACAGCATATTAAGCGTGCTTTTGTTTCTGCAGTCAAGAGGGTCTTTTGTCAGATGAAGAAGCACAAGAAGTAACAAGACTGCTGTCCCCAACAGATGAGAGAGATCAAGAAGACCCAGAATGGCTGACTGATGTACTTTCAGTGACAAGTGACTCCTTAATACAAGAGTCTACCCTTGACTACAGGTATGTATAGAATGTTGCATATCACTGTGGATAGACAGGAAATGGGATTATCTTTGCAGAAGGATCTACCACTTTAGACTTGAGTACTTTGTGCAGGAATAATTTTTATAAATCAAAATGTTTTCACTCTACTGGGTGTTTTATAATCATTCTTATATAATCTCTGTACCTGCATTAGAATATTTACTTTTGAACTTAAATTATGTAAATGAGGTGGAGAGGTACACTGCGATAACAACCATAACATTTTTCTGGAAATGTTAGATGTTGGCGTTAAGAAAGGCCTTCTTTGGTTCTTGGCAGGCCATCATCTCTTTATACCAGGTCTTCATTTTTACTAGCTAGTCGTCCATCTTGGCCTCAAACTTTTCCATGATGGCTACCAGATGTTCAGAATCAATCCATCATGATTATTCGTGACTTGGGTTTCAATCCAATCAATACAACCTATCCCATTTCTGACACTAGTTGTCACATGTAGAGTGAATGTAGACTGGAACTGGATTGAATTACTGGACTGAAGACAACATTGAATCGTCATGTCACCGTACTATGGAGATGGAACAGAAGCTCGCAATAGGATCCCTTATGGCACACTGTGAGCCAGTGACACTGGGGACCCCACCCAGTGTTGAACAACCACAGGTCTGAGCCACTACTCCAAAATTACAGGATGTGATTGCAGCGGCAGGCCAAACCTGAGCAACGCTGAATCTTCGGAGTTGGAATTGCTCCTCACCGAATATGGAGAGACATTTTTGCTTTGAAGAGCAATGACTATGGTCAGACCGACAGTGTAACCACTGTATAGATACAGGAGAGGCTTGACTGAGTTGCCAGCCCTCGAGGAGGCTCCTCATAGCAAAACTGGCAGATATGGACGAGATGCTCGAGGACATGAATTGATGTAGAGGTATCGAAGAGTGAGGCAGTCACTGGTCATCTCCCATCATTCTTGTACGGAAGAAGAATGCCAACCCGTGCTTCTGCGAGGACTACAGGAAACTGAACGATGTTACAAAGGAAGACTGTTTCCTGCTACCCTGGATTGACAACACTATGGACACTCTGGCTGGAACGAAATGGTTCTCTACTGTGGACCTGAAGAATGGTAATTGGCAAGTGAATCTGCATCCTGATGACAAGGAGAAGACTGCATTCTCAAGTGGTCAAGGACTATGGCAAGTTCATGCTTATGCCCTTCGGCCTCTGCACTGCTCCAGTGACGTTTGAGCAGTGAATGGAAACCATCTTACGAGGCAGCAGAACTAAGCAAATTGCAAAGGTTGGCTTGCTTAGGTATCACAGGGGCAATTCAGGCATCTCCAACAGCTGCACTGGAGATACTCCTTGGACTCCCCCCATTGCATCTACAGTTGGAGGCAGAGGCCAGGGCAGGAATCTACCATCTCCAGTGCAGTGAACAGTGAAAACCTAGATCGAATGGCTTCAGCCGTGCATACATAAGTCAGGACATGAAAAAAGAACCCATATTACAAATGGGGTCTGACAAAATGATAGTGAGACATGTATATGAAAAACCCTTCACAGTCAGATTTCCTGACAGGAGTGAATGGGAAGACAGGTTTTGGCCCAATAGAAAAGGGGGACTGATCTGGTATACAGATGGTTCCAAGATAAATAAGGGCACTGGAGCTGGTGTGTACTGCTGTGGCACGAGGCAGAAACTTGGTTTCAGACTTGGGCAGTACACGACAGTATTCCAGGCAGAAGTACATGCCATTATGGCATGTATTATGGAGAATTTAGATAGGAACTACAGAAATAGGAACATCTACATTCTATCTGACAGCCAAGCTGCACTTAAAGCGCTTGACAAACACCAGATCAATTCAAAATTAGTCTGGGATTGCCACCAAACGCTCATGCAACTGGCCAAACATAACAGGGTAAAACTGATATGGGTGCCGGGGCATGAGGGTATAGCTGGAAATGAAGCAGCAGACCAATTAGCTCAGATTGGAGCTGAACATCCATTCATAGGACCTGAACCAGCCTGTGGCATCTCTATTGGAATTGCCAGAAAGGCAATCAGGGACTGGACAAACATGAATCACAAGAAATACTGGGGATCCTTGACTGGACTCAGGCAAGCAAAGGGACTCATACGAGGACCTTCTACTAAAAGAACAAAGGAACTGTTGAAGTTAAACAGGAACCAGCTACAGTGGGTGGTAGGACTACTTACAGGACACTGTCACCTCAAAGGACACCTGTTCAAACTGGGACTAAGTGATAGTCCCACTTGTGAGAGGTGTCAAGAAGAAAACGAAACAGCCACACATATCCTGTGCGAATGTGAGGCCTTAGCTTATTTAAGACTATGTCACTTGGGTCAATACTTTATGGAACCAAGTGACTATTTTGATGCCCCCACGTACAAAATCCTGCGCTTCATTTGAAGCGTGGGATTGCTGAGCGGATAATCAAAAGGAGAAGCACAGTAGACCACTGTAGATCGCAGTGGAAGGGCTGAGAATCCAAGCACCCATACATTCATTCATTCATTCATTCATTCATCTTACGAGGCCTCACATACGGGTCATTTCTCATGTACCTGGACAATGTGATCGTGATCAGATGCACATTCCAAGAGCACTTGTTCAACCTATGGAAAGTGTTCCAATGGTTCAAAGCAACCCCCATCTCTAGTCACACTCAAGTCTGTGTCAGCTGTCACCTGTTCACACAGCTGTTACTTGGCAATGGGTCTACATGTCACAGTATTTACATTCTAATCTTATGATTGCATATTATTCGTCTAATAGGGATGGTTTCATTTACAGGTCTAGGAGTGAAATGAGTGTGACTATGGAGGACTCGATGACGTCGAGCCACATCGGGTCTCATTCTGGCTCAGAATCAGGCCTGCTAGGTTCAGTGAGCAGTCTGAATGATCAAGATGGCATTGGTGAGCAGGAACCAAAGGGTGAAGATTATGTACCCCAGCCTGGTAAAGTGGTAAGTCTGGGTCATATCACTTAACTGGTGCCATGAGAGATTTCCTACGTCACATGGGTTGGCATTTCTAATGATACTTTAGACTCCATCCTGTTTCTGTAGTAAGTTATGTATTTTTGATAATTAGATAGGTTTAATTTGTGTGTGCACATGTACCTAAGCATGTTTTTGTCTGTACATTAGTATCTGCCTGGAAATAACATATTATCCACTCCACTTTCTCTTTCATTTCATTGGGTAAGCTAGGGGAAGAAACATTAAAATGTTACACTTGATTGGCATGGATATTTCATCTAGTTCTGCCCTTTGTGAGTTCTTACTGCCAAACTTTTAAATTAATAATTACAAAATGTTACATTTTAAAAAATACATCAGTATTCAAGAATTTAATCATCAATTATCACATTATGAGGTATTCGTCGTTATCCTGCCACATAAAAATTCAGAGTGTGAATAACATTCCTCTAGTCTTCTATTAGCATCTGTATGAGTCTTCACTCTGTTAAGTACTCCGCCTTAAGTACCTGCGGTATAGATATGTTTTGTTTACTTGTCTTAAAATAGCATTCATTGGCTTTGATTCTGATGCTCATAAGATATATTGCCATATTCGCAGCTTCGTTCTGATGCTTTCATGTGTTCTGTCAGTATATTGACTTTTAGCTCGATAATCTAAGTGTTTGCTTTTGCTCTAGGTAATTGTGGAAAATGGTGTCCATTATTTTGAAGATGGTCACTTCTGGATGGAGGTTCCTGGTCTGCCAGAATCCGAAGAAGACGAAGAAGAAGATGATGTTGATTACCCCATCCCAGTGAAGAAGAATACAAAGGTGACATTTAGCACTGGACCAATCAAAGTGAGTGAGACATGCATTTATTATGTAATATATAGCATGTAGCAAATTTGTGCTTCCTTCAGCATATAACTGATTTGTGAAGTTGTTGTTGGAAGTTTAGGTTGAACAGGTAAACACAGGATTTGAGGTTCATACAGCAGTGGTTATGAAGGATATAATGCCATGTAGCCCAGTGAAAGTCAACTGACGTTTTGGAGGAGCGTGTTGCTGTCATCTTCACAGTTGAAGAGTAAACCAAGCAAAAAGCCAGCACCGTCCAGCATAAAGTTGAGAAAAATGCACTTGGAAAAATCTGGCCAGATATAGGCCAGTCCAGACTTGAGAGGGACTGAGAGGGTGCTATGGAAGAGTGACTATTGTCTGTAAGGGAACCCAGAGAAAGCCAATGGAAGCAAAGGAAATTATACTTCAGTTTGGTTCTGATGAGGGCCTGTTGCATGCTGGATTTTCCATGCCTCTTTCACTCAGCTTCGTGCCTGCTTCTGCTTGTTTATTGCTTGTCTTACCCTGAAGATGGAAGTGATGTGTTCCTCTGAAACATTTGGCTCTCTTCAAACTATATGGCGTTACAATGCAGAAGACTGTATGTACTCTTTAATATTCAATACCATGAGAGCTTCAAATTCAATGCTAGGTAATTATTTTCCTCTGGTTTAGGTTAGTCATTCTGTAGCTAGTTAAATGAAGTTGCGTTGTTCAACTATAAATATAATTTATTGTACAGGTGTACAGCACATTCTCTGTGAATGATTATGATCGTCGCAATGAAGATGTTGATCCAGTGGCTGCATCAGCAGAGTATGAGCTTGAGAAACGGGTGGAGAAGATGCAGGTATTCCCAGTAGAACTGACCAAGGGTCCAGAAGGCCTTGGACTGAGCATCATTGGAATGGGCGTTGGTGCTGATGCAGGCTTGGAGAAGCTGGGGATCTTTGTGAAGACTATCACCGAACATGGAGCAGCTGCGAGAGATGGCAGAATACAAGTTAGTAATGCTGTCTCAGAAGTTTTTTGTCATTTTGAAAGCAGAACAATTTGTAAAGTATATTTTAAATCAGTACTAAGCATTCTCTAAGGTATATTTTCAGTCAGTACTCAGGTACAATAGGAGTTGGCATACCTCAGGCAATACAGCAATGGGCAGCTGACTGGACAGCCCAGGTTCGATTCATGGCAGCGCAAGATTTTTCTCTTCTCCACAACATCCAGACGGAATCTGAGGCCCTCCCAGCCTCCTGTCCAATTGGTACTGGGGACTCTATCCCTGGGGATAAAGTGGCAGGTGCATGAAGCTGACCACTCACCTCCATCTCATACCGAGATCAAGAAAGGTGGAGCTATACCCCCACATGCATATGTCTTCATCATATAGTTTTTTTTTTGTGCTACAGCCCCAATTTTGGCCTTGGCCTACCTCCATGAATCTCTCCATTTCACTTCGGTTTACTAGATCTTAGACATTTGGTAGGACTCCTTGGGCGGGTGATCAGCTCGTCGCGAGGCCTCTACCTGTACACAAACACAGAAAAACGCACATACACAAACACTAAACATCTATGACCTGAGTGGGATTCGAACCCACAATCCTGGCTTTCCGAGCAAGCGAAGACAGTGCATGCCTTAGACTGCTCAGCTATCATGACTGGCTCATGGCATAGTACTTAACTAATGAAGCACAGAGATAACTTTCAACTAAGGTATATTGTCAGAACATGGTCCCTTACAAAGAGAATCAAAAGCACAGTCAAAGAATCAGAAATGAAATTTTTAAGAGTGTTGAAGGGAAAACAAGAAGACATGAATTATGCATGTAATTTTTAGAGAAGGGGTAGGAATTTGAAATGTCTTAATAGAGTTAGAAGAGAAACAACTACTGTAGTTAGACAGTGTATGAAGAATGAATAAAACAAGGATACTGAGAAGGGCATTAGAATTAAAATTTAAATGATAATTCAGAACAGGATACTGGAAGACGCTAACAATAAATTGGAAAGGGAAGATGAGATTTAGAGACATTTTGTTCACTGACCCTTATAAAATGGAATTGATGATGAAGAATATGATGCCAGAGGGTTCAATAATGTCTTTTTATATGCATTTCTACAGTTTTGGCACTGAGTGGGAAGTTGTAGTTGATGCTGTACAAGAAATAGAGCATTTAATGGTATGCTAAGTCTTTGTTATAAATTATTTAAAGGTTTCTCACTGCAGCAATAGAACTTCACACAAAATCCAGGCTGAAGTTAGGTATGTCGATACTACATCACAACAGCTTGTTGCTCAAATGTTTATGGTATTTTTTTTAATGAAATGGGTGCACTTTTTGGGGTGAGAATTCACAAATAGGTAGGTTGGCAGAATTTGAGAAGATTGGTGGGAGAAAGGTATTATCACCTCCACTCACCGAGATCATATTCTCAAATCCTTCTGTGTAAGTGACATAATGGTGACATGAAAGCTCTGAAATTATGCACTTTCTTCTTACTATAACAAGAAATTGTCAAGTGTTAATGTGCTTCATGAACATTATGCAATAGATCTGTGTTCTAAATATTGATAATATTTTGATGTGGATATGTGAAGTGTGGTATACTGTATAAAGGTGACTGTTTATAATCAAATGTTTGTGCATGTTATTTGTCAGGTAAAGGTAAAGCTATCCCTGTAATGGAGTGGAGGCCTATAGGATTATCAAGAAGTCGAGGCTTCCACATTTTCTAGAGAAGTGGCTCACAAATGGCGGTGAGGTTGTCAGCCTTACTTGCTGGCTACCCTTTACCCCCAGTTAGATTCCTGGTAATCATTCCTGTTAGAGGCTGAGTTGACCCCAAGGCCATAATGCGACTGGAAGGGTTAGGTGGATTGAAAAATCCAGTGACCTCATCAGGAATTGAACCTGTGACCTTCCAGCTTATAGCATAATGCCTCAGTACCTTGTGCCCCATGTTATTTGTGAGACATAGTATTAAATATTGGCCTTGACACATCATTTGTTAACATACAGGATTTGCTAAGACTGCGGCAGAAACGTTACTGAAAACATTGCAGAGGAATAGCCATTGTTGAGGCCTGTTACCAAGTAAAAGTAAACAGAGAAGATTAGTGTGGAGTGATTTGTAGTGTGGAAATCACCAGTAGTGTTATAGTTATTTTTAGTTATGACCTGTAAGTGGTCAATAAATCTATTCACCAATCCAAGCCCTGTCTATGGTCATAAGTACATGTGACAGAACGAAAGTTTATATAATGAATTATAGACTTCCAATTGAATTCTCAATAGGCATTACACTAGTAACTTGTAATAAAATTTTTTTATTGTACATTTTACTTAGTTGGTTGAGGGGCTATGCTACAAGCCAGGACGTCATGGGTTCAAGTCCCGCTGAGGCCATTGGATTTTTTTCAATTGACCTAATCCTTCCAGCCTCACTATGGCCCTGGGTCGACTCAGCCTCTAACAGAAATGAGGACCAGGAATTAATTAAATAATTTTCGTGGGGAGTAAAGCGCGGCCGGCATGTAAGGCTGACAACCTTACCGCCATCTTTGAGCTGCTTGTCTAGATAATGTGGAACCCTCAACATCTTACAACCCTATGGGCCTTCACGGCCTGCTACAGGGATAGCTTTAATTTACTTACTTACTTACTTACTTACTTACATTTTTACACAGCACCATAGCTTAAGCAGTTAGTCGCTGGCTTCCCACCACGGCATCCCGGGTTCAATCTCTTGTCTGGTCAAGTGGGATTTGTGGTGGACAAAGTGGGGCTGGGACAGGTTTTCTCTGAGTACTTCAGTTTCCCCTGTCAATCTTCATTCCACCAATTGCTCCAGAATCACCCTCACTTATCATCTTGGGCTGGTACAATAGGCCAGAAGCCACAGTGCAAGGGACTTAGTCCCACCCCACTAGCAATAAAAAAAATACATTTTACTTTATGTGCACTATTCATAACCTGAAAATACATTAATTTAACATTTTATATGAAATTATATTCATGTTAACAATTCTGTACTTTTTAAATAATATTTTATATGTGTATTGTGCCTTCAGGTGAATGATCAGATAATCGAAGTTGATGGGAAGTCTTTAGTGGGAGTAACACAGGCATATGCAGCTTCAGTGCTAAGGAATACATGTGGTCTCGTCAAGTTCCTCATTGGCAGAGAGAAGGATCCTCAGAACAGTGAAGTGGCTCAGTTGATCAAACAGTCTCTGCAGGTAGGTTGTGTTTATTTAAAGAGCTTTATCTGTTGATGATGAAACTAAATTGTTACAAAATTCATAAAGAATCTCACTTTCTCATAACCATGAACTTCAGTTATAAGAATTAAACCTTTTTGGCTTGTTCTAACTTTTCAGCCATTTGTTATGACCTGAATCTTAATAATATATAAATTTATAACAGAACTATCATGCCTGTGCAGAAAAATCTGCACTGAGTTTTAGCCTGTCTTGTAATTCAGCCTTTCTGTATAGGCCGACCGAGAACGAGAGGAGCCTCGTCGGCAGATGGAGCAACAGCAGCAGCAGCAGCAGCCCCCTCCACGAAACTCATCCCGTAGCCTTCATCATGGAAGTGACACTGGCATAATTTCCCCAGATGGGACCCGCTCAGAGGATAGCAGCTTAACTCTACCTCTTACTGGCACTTCCCCTACCACATCATCATCATCTGAAGGGCCAGCTAGCCCTCCAGGTGCAAATGACAGCATGTTCGACCATGACGCTTCTAAGTCTCCCACTATATCGAATGATGTCGATGCACTGAGACGGCTTCTACAAGAGGTAATTTTTAGTGCAGAATGCTTTTTTATGTATGAAATACTCTTTTAATGCATATGTTAATTTATCTCTTTGCTCTGGAATTCTATGTTAGTCATTTTTGGTTGATCTGGTGTGAATGTAAGCTCGTGCCTGTGACACTGTAAGAACTTGACAGTGAGTGTACTGTGGCATGTTTCCTAAAGATATAATTTCAAATGTTTAGTTAAATATAACCACTTCCACATTGTGTACTGTCCTGAGACTCTTCTCAACAATAAATTTGAAACCTGTTATTAACCTGTTACGTTGGCCACGCCATAGCTCAAGCGGTTAGTCACTGGCTTCCTACCGCGGTGGGATGGGTTTTCTCTGAGTACTTTGGTTTCCCCTGCCAATCTTCATTCCACCAAATTATCCATCATCATACTGACCCGGGGTAGGCTATAATAGGCCAATCAGTGGCCACCGTGCCAAGTGGACCCAGTTGGACTCCACCCCCCTCTAAGCAAACCTGTTACGTACAATGGCCAACAGAAAGCCTTTTTCTTCTATACTGGGGAAACTGAGTGACTTCTAGAATGTGACACTGTGTGCTGTGGTACACTGTTTCAGAGAGTTGTTGGTGAACCTCTACCAGCCTACACAACTTCACATCCCAGAAGACTTACCTCAGATCCCACAAGAATAGTGCTTCATTTATAAAACTTAATGAATAAGTCTAAGAAATATTATTGCTCTTGTGCACCTTTGAGTTATATTTAAAATAGGAAACTAATTCATATTGGCTCTTTTGAGAAACCCAGATCAGATACTAAAATCCCAGTACATTTTTCATTCTTATATTTTTTTCTCTTAAGGCAACTATCCTATGGCTGTTGGCATTGAATATTTTGCAGAAGTCAAATCCTCTATCATTAATCATATGGCAATGACTATTAATAAATTTGATTAATATTGGTGTTATGTGACACATCTGCTTTGTTTTACCTAATTGTAACACATTTATGTTGCTCAAATTCTTTCTTTGTATCATGTTTATTGTTATTTGCTTGTGACAGTATGTAGCATGTTGCATTATTCTGCTTGTTCGCTTGTATGTACGTCTGTTTTTGATGTGTTTTAATGTTTTGTAAATTTCTCGTTGTTTAATTTTCAGAGTCAGTTCAAAGTTGCACTAGCTGATGGTGATATTTCAAGGCTAAAAGCTAGGGTAAGCATTGATATGTTGAAAAGGGTATAAGGATAAGTGGCCGTGGATTCTTGAGCAGAATGAAACTGAAAATGTAGTACTGTATCTTAATGAAAATGGAGGAAGGTCTCTCTGAGTACTTTAGTTTTCCCCTTCCTTTTATTGTTCCACCAACTGCTCCATTCTCTCATTTGTCATCAGGGACTGGTACAAAAGGCCCAGTTGTAACTGCAGTACCACAGGACTCTCAACCTTACCCTGTCCCAAGAATAAAAGTAAAAGCAGTGTACTGTGGAACCCCTGTTTAGTGTTCTCCAGTTTAAGCTGTACAAAACCATTGTTAAGTAATAGTCAGCAGCATGTGCCATTGAATAGGATCCAGTGCCAAGTTTAAATCAACACCATTTTCCTTAAGTTTTTCAATCATTTTCAGTGAGCTTTTGTCAACTTCTGGCAGTTATGTGAACTCTTTGGTGTTGTAGGAGCAATATTCCATTATGAAATGAAGCTTCATTAATAAACATTGCCTTCAGCATTTTCCCACTTCAATTATAAATGAATCCCATGTTGTACATGTCTGTCCTTGTCTTTAATACCTTGAAGCATATGTAGTTGCTTTTAAACTCTGATAGAATTTGCTGCTGTTGTACACAAGATGTTTAGGGTAAAACATCTTGACTGTATGTTCCTCAGCATATGTTTTCTGCATTTAATGTTCAATTTCAGTGATCCCAAGTCAGTAATCGCTTTTAAATTTCCTCCAATTAAGATTTTCCACAGTCCAATGTTGAATTCCGATGCCCCCCCCCACAAGAGAAACTTAACTAGGGATTTCACAGGACTGAAATGTTACTGTGGAAATATTACATTAGTGTCTATAGATCAAGTCTTGTTTGCTTTGCATGATTTGAAATATTACTGCTTGATGCCTGGATTAAGTTGTTTAGAAGTTTATAGAAATGTGCATGTGAATTTGTGGAATTGTGACTTGTGTCTGTAATCAGAATGTATGTATATGAAAGGAACTGAAAAATTTTCTGCAAAAATATTTTTCTTTCCAACTTATTAAAGTAATGAATAATTGTTGACATAACTAATAACTTGAACATAGTTCTTGTTTTGTGTCACTTGTAAGACTTCTGTCTGCCATTATGTGTCATTTTACTGGGCAAGTTCAACGATGACGCTTCAAATTTAATTATACTGACTAATATCCAGTGTCCAAGCATTCAGAATTATCATGCAATCAGCAAAGATTTCAAAGAAATTATGCCATTTTTATAACGTAATTTCAAAAATAAAGATGTGATGCGTGTATGTTCATGTCCAAAACAGTAGTTCTGTCTGTGCTACTAGTCATTCTCTTTCATGCAGGTGCCATTAACAATCATGATGCTTGATTACAGTAGTGGTTAGTTCAATTTATGACTGTGTTACAGTATATCCAAAACCATTCACCCATCAGTTTGCCACTTCACCTGAGGGAACTCTCACACTAAAATCAGAGCGAAAATGTGTGATTTGCAGAATGAAACAGAAAACGGAAATATTGAAAACTGAAAAAGAATGAAAATCGCATGAATTTTTTTTTCTCCCCAGTAATAAGTTGTAAGAAAGGACAAAAAAATAACTTTTGTGCCTCGGATACCTATATATTCATTGTTCAAGAACTTGTCATTCTATAACACTTAATTTGTATGTGAATGCTTGGGTCTGGAAGATGTATTGTTTTCTCTGTGTAGAAGTTTCTGTGGGTTTGTGGGACATGTGGTGGTGGTGGTGGTTGTGGTTGTGTCTGGCTTGTGTGTTGATTGTGTATGTGTTGGGTTAGCTTGTGGAGATGGAGCAGAGTGGGCTTGACAGTGAGGAGTTCCTCGAGAAACTTCGACAGTCAACGATGAAACTGCGAGAGATGGAACACAATCTACTTGCTGCCAAGAAAGATGTAGCCAGCTATCAGGACATGCTAGAGCAATCTCAGGTTAGTTCTGTTTGTTGTGTTGCAGTTGTTACTTATCCCGGGTCTGGTCAAGTGGGATCTCTGGTGGACAAAGTGGTGCTGGGGCAGGTTTTCTTTGAGTACTTCGGTTTCCCCTGCAAATCTTCATTCCACCAATTGCTCCACAGTCACCCTCACCTACCATCTGGGACTGGTACAATAGGCCATAAATGGCCGCAATATAAGGGACTTAGTCCCAACCCACTAGCAGTAATAATAATAGGACTTTTTGTGGTGGAAATTGTAGAGTGGTATTGAGTTTAGTGCTACAGTTTTCTTTAAATTTATTGTGTTATATGGAAATATTTCAGTGATTTTCTTACAAGTGAGTTGTTGATTCAGGTTCATCTTTTGGCCTGTATATGTTGTGAACGTCTGAAACCACACTGGAGATCTAATAATATTATGATGGAGTGAATTCATGTGTAGGAAATCCCAGGATCTAGTCTGAGTCCAAGACCAATTATCCTAACAGGGTTTTTGCAATTTTTCTCAGTCCCAGAAGACAATTCTGGGATAATGCCTTAAATTAGTCCATGATTACTTCCTTCCACATCCCTTTCAATTAGTTATAACCCTATCATGTCATTCAGCAGTGTATAATCCGAGCTATTAAAAGCATTAGAAATTAACATGTATTAAATGGAGCAGAAAAGAATGTGAGAATATACCTATGTATTTCTTGGCCTCACATCATTTAGGTCTTATATTTACGAGGGAGAGTCAGTAAATAAGTCACAAATGGAAGTAAAACATCTGTAATGGATGTAATAGGTTTTCTGTATGTATCACTAGGTAGCAGCTCAGTCCAGCTTCATGCCAATTTAGATAGCAGATGCACATATGCCTGTTCAAAGGCTGGTTTCTGTTGTGCATTGTTTATGGCCAAAAGGATTCAATGCAAAAGATATTCATAAAGAAATGTTTCCTATTTATGGTGGGAGGTGTTTGTTGCATAAAGCCATTCATAACTAGGTTGAGAAATCCTGCCAAGGATGTTTGTAAGTAGCAGATGATGCCCAACCAGGTCACCGTCTTGAGACTGCGACAAAAGCAACTGTGCTGCGGATGGAAGAGTTGATTCAAGCTGACAGTGTAGCAACTGCACTAGGGTGTTCCCATGGTTTATCATACAGCATAATGGATGATCACTTGAAATTTCAGAGAGTGTGCACATGGCGGGAGCCCAGAGGACTGAAGGATCAAGAAAAAATTAACCGCGTGGATCTGCCCTTGCAGCATCACTTACGATATGGAGACAAAGGAGAAGATATACTTAACAGGATTGTTACTGGGGGAGAATTAGGAGTGCATCACTACCATCCTGAATCAAAGTGTGCTTCAGTGCACTGGAAACATCCCAGTTCATCTTCAGCCAAAAATCTCAAAGTCTAAGGTTACATTATCAGCTAGGAAGGTTATGTGTCTTGTATTTTGGGATTAGCAGGGACTCCTGTTAGCCCATTTTGAGAAGATTGGTGAAAATGTGAATTCTGCTGAAATTCTGTTGAAACCTTGTGGTGCAATTTGCAGAAGACATCCTAGCAAACTGGCAAGAGGTGTACTGCTTTATCATGACAATGTCAGACCACATACAGCCCAAGCAACCAAGGAGAGAATTCAAGGACTACAGGACTACAAGGACTACTACTACTACCTTACAGTCTGGACTTGGCCCCTAGTGACTTTTCATCTGTTTGATCTGCTAAAAAACCACCTTGGTGGCAAACATTTTGCTAATGAAGAAGAGGTTGAAACGGAGGTGCGAAAGTGGCTGGGACAAGTGTATCAGTGTTGGTGGAGGATATGTCGCGAAATAAATGTTCTTCCCAGGTTCAGATATCACATGTTTTATGTTTTATATCCATTTGTGACCTATTTATTGACTCTTATTCTTATATGATTCCCTAAATACTGAATATGTATCACTCTCTTAATGTTCGGGAAACGTTAGTGAGTACAAGTTCTGGCCGCAGATATGCATATGCACAGCTACCTCTGCAGCAGCAGTTTTGGTAATAAATCTTAGAAAGGTATGATCAGGAAAACAGACATCTTTTGCTGTGATTGAAGTACTGTACATTAACAGTAACGGCTGATACAAGGAATGAGTACATTTTAGCTGACCTTATGTCCTTAAGGAAAATCTTTAGTCGTATGAGGTCAGAGAGAGAGAGAGAGAGACGCTTGTGTATGCGCGCGTGCGCACAGAGCGGTGTCTGTATATCTGTGCCTCTGTCTGTGTGTTTGTCTGTTCTTCTGTGTGTGTTTCTGTCTGTTGAAATGTCCTCCCCATTTCAGCTCTTGAACTGTGTGGCAAGATTATGACACCATTGAAGGCCACCCTTCCCATAATCAGTAGTAATAACAAGATGGGCATACAAATATGTGAGGTCTGAGCAGCAGTTAAATTAAGGTCTAGAAGTGGTGTATTGTAATAGAGCTTTGAAAGAAATGTAAATTTTGTTAAGGCACTTTTTTATGGGAGAAATGTGAAAATTTTCTTTAGCTTAGTGATGAACCATTGGAACTAGATGTGTGAAATTTGGTATGGAGATAGACCATGAACATGTGTGAAGAAATACTGTTTATGAGTTAGCATGTACAGTCATGGTGATGGTGAGAAACTTTGAGGTTAAATCTGGCAAACTGAACATGAAACCTGTTCTTCACACACACACACACTAACAAAAATAAAGATGAAGAGAAATACACAAATAATGTAATAGCTAAGAACTACATAACGCAAGAACGTTAGGATTATGAATAAGAGCCTTAAATGTTAATTCATTTTAGGTAGAAGATTATAAAATATGATTAGAGAAACCACTCTGATTATGAATATATCAAGATCTTTACCCACCACGTTGGCAGCACAGGTGATCCAAGCAGAAGGACGGTGTTTATTAGAGGGCCAAACATTAAACGTTGAGAAGTCCCTAACATTGAAAGCAGAAACACAAAGACTAGCATTTTCCAAGATTGAAGGTGGCGATAGACCTAAACAAAAAGAAGTGCATGAAGGTGATGTCTCCTTTTACATAAAGTCTGTAGACTTAACTTATCTAAGGCAAAAGTATAATTATAAGGAATACAAGGGGAAAGCATGATAGAAACAGACACAAACTTCTGCTGGTTGCACCCAAGCTTTTTGGTATCAGTATACATTGTAGAATGCCAGACTATAAGGCATATTCCGACTTGGACCTGACTAATGTAAATTATAACTCATATAAATAATTCAAGGAAGAAAATGTGAAGGTTATGATTGTGATTGTGAAAATGTAATTTTGAGTCAAAGAAAACTCCTAGGTCCTTAATACTACAGGTGAATATAATGGCAGTCTGACAAAGCTGATATTCATGAGTCAGAATATTTGTCTTCCTGGAGTATGACACAACATGTGTTTTAGCAGCATTAAGTCTCATGGAGTTAGCAGTGCAACAGTCACTCACAGAATTAATATAAATTTGGAAATAATACTAATACTTTGCAATTCAATTGTTTATGTGCTGAGCTCAGCAGCAAAGTACAGAGTTATCATGAATGCAAACAACAGCAGTGTGACAGCACATGATGAAACAAGCAAGAAACAACAAAAACAAAGAAAAATGAACCATTTTGAATTGTTTCATTTTGGTCCGTTACACTATCAATCACCAATTATCATTAGAACCTCCGTCGAGTGTAACAATATATATTCTTGTCACCATTTTCTCACATTTGCCTTACATGTTTCGGCTCACAAAGAGCCATCATCAGAGGCAACCACAACAAAAACATGGAAACACTTGCACTGCTCAACAATCACAATATACAGTTTTTTGTGGAAGATGTTACACGTATCGGAGCGTAAAACACAACAACATCCAGTACCCCGAGTGCGGGTATCCCATTTGCATTTAAAATATCACCCACAAAGCGGGTCGTTAATGTTAAAATTAAAGTTAAAACCGTCCAAGTAAAATATTCAGGTTCCTCTTAGTGGATAGTCCCAATGGGGGAGGCGTCAGCACGAGGTTGTGTGGGCTGCAAAGATATTGTATTACGTTAGGTTTTATC